GGATGTGTATCTTCTGTTAAAGGCAAGAAATGCTGCTTTTCACTCTGGTGATGCGCAACAGTATAGAGAAGCCAGAGCCAAATTGAAAAAGGGCATTAGGAACGCCAAAGCTATGTACTGCCGGAGGATCGAAAAACATTTTGAGAGCTCCGACCCTCGTCGAGTATGGCAAGGCCTGCGACAAATTACAGGGCAAAATATTAAAAACGAACTGGCTAGCAGCAGTGCGCACCTGGCTGATCAACTGAATCAATTTTTAGTCGCCTTGAGGTGGGAACTGGAACTACCGTCACTACAGCATTGGCTACCAGCACATCATCAGAAACTACTACTGATAGACAACCATTTTTATTACAGACCTGTGACGTACAACGTGCCTTTCGGAGCATTGACATTAGGAAGGCAGCTGGACCGGATGGAATCATGGGACGGGCTATTAGGGACTGCGCTGCAGAATTAGCTGGTGTGTTTACGGACATTTTTAATCTATCCCTGTTGCAGGGTTCTGTCCCTACCTGCCTGAAGACATCGATTATAGTGCCAGTCCCCAAGCAGTCAGTGGTGGTATCTCTCAATGACTATAGACCAATAGCCTTAACATCTGTCGTTATGAAATGTTTTGAGAGATTGGTGCTAGATCATATTAAGGCTGGTCTTCCATCCACTCTAGACCCGTTCCAGTTTGCATACAGAAGAAATAGATCTACTGATGATGCTATTTCCATCGCTGTCCATACTGTACTGAGTCATCTAGAACGACAGGGAACCTACGCAAGGCTGTTGTTTGTGGACTACAGTTCTGCCTTCAATACAATTCTGCCAGACAGGTTATTTCTTAAAATGACCAATTTGGGTATACATCAGAAGATCTGTCTGTGGGTAAGGAATTTCCTGACTGATAGGCCGCAGACAGTGAGAATGGGCCCTTACTATTCTTCTACTCTAGTATTAAGCACAGGAGCCCCTCAGGGATGTGTGCTAAGTCCCTTTCTCTATTCCCTGTACACATTTGATTGCACCCCACTGTATGAGTCCAACACAATCATCAAATTTGCGGATGATACAACAGTGGTGGGGCTCATTAGTGAGACGATGAGACTGCTTATAGGAAAGAAGTACAGGGGTTAATTCAATGGTGTAAAGAAAACAATCTTATGCTTAACACCAAAAAACCAAAGAACTCATAATTGACTTTAGGAGAAAGAAAAGCGTATTTTTACCATTGCACATAAATGGCGAGGAGGTGGAGAGGGTTGGTAGTTTTAAATACCTGGGCACTTACATCTCTGAGGACCTCTCATGGACTGTAAATATTAATATGGTTGTGAGGAAGGTGCAGGGGAGGTTGTATTTCCTGAGAATGCTCAGGGGACTGAATCTATCTCAGCACCTACTTCTGTCCTATTATCACAGTACCATCGAGAGTGTCTTAACATATAGTATATTATCGTGGTATGGGAGCAGCTCTGAAACGGATAACAATGCTTTACAGAGAATAATTAAAATTGCCCAGAATGTTATTGGGCTCCAACTACCAACCCTGGATGAGATCTTCACGTCTCGCACTTTGAAGAAGTCACACAATATCCTGAGAGATCCCACCCATCCTGCTCACAACTTCTTTGAACTGTTGCCTTCGGGCAGAAGATATAGGACAATGAAAACACGAACCACACGCCTTCTGAATAGTTTCTATCCAAGAGCTCTGATTGCACTAAATAATGATCTCAGGGCCAGTTGCAAGGAATAGCAAGCAGGGAGTAGGAAGGAATGAGACAGGTTTTTAGGTTATGTTATGCTTTTAATAGGTTATGTTACATTCTGGAGTATGATATGTTTTTATAGATTATGTCTGAATAGGATGAGAGTGTTGGAGATACGTGCAAATGTGTATGTGAACCCGGTCTTCGAGTGGGTGTTTGATTTTCGTTGTTGTGTATACTGTGTATATACGGACAATGACAATAAATTTATCTATCTATCTATCTATCTATCTATATAGAGCCCACCCAGGAATTAAATCAGGAGTGTGCTCTGACAGATCAGATGAGGGAAGAGGATGCTGTTGAACCTCGGGCGCCAGAGATGGAGGGAGCTGTGGCCCAGCAGGAACATGAGTTGTTGGATTTGACAAATGAACTTGGAAAAGCCAGGCTTGGAGAGATAGAGTTTTGTTTGGTTTGGAAATGGGGGTTGGATAGACCCCCTATGCAGGGATGTTTTGACTTTCCAAGTCTGGCAATGGGCCGTGAGATGTCTGGGGTTGTGGGGGCTCTTAATTCTGGAGGGATCTTGAAACATGTTTTTAAATACCACATGGAGTCTAGTGTGGACTATGGAAAAGGGGCTGATTTGTCGAGAAGGGTCAAAAACACTGTCAAGTTGAAGTTTCCACGAGTGAAAGGAGCAGGAGATAAAATAAACTACAGGTATAAATATGAAGAAGAGCTGCGGAAGGGACATGGAAGAGATTTAAGGGCCTCGGACATAAGATTACCAGGTTAATGAACTAGATTGAGGGGATAGAAAGGACTGACAAAACCCGGGACCAGGAGGAAGAGACGCTGGATGAAGATTGGAAGAATTTTTTTTTATTATTAGGATTGTTTTATAAAATTGATGAATGTTAGAAAAATGTTGGAACGAAATTATTTGGCTTTAGCAAAAATGTTAAAGGAATTATGTAAGAATATGTTATGGTTATGAGAAATTGGTATAAATAAGATCTAAGTTTTAAGTTTTAAGGTCTTTTATAGTAAGATAAGGTTAAAATAGATTAAGGTAATGTAATGACAGAATATTATGAAAAATGGAAAGGATTTGCTGTCACTATTAATAACTAGGATACAAAAAAAGGGAGGAGTGAGGAGGTCAAAGAAAGAAGGTAATGACAGCCAAGGATATGAGAATATTGGATTTGTTTTTAAATTTTTGTGGCTTACTTTTGTTTTTTGATTGTGTTCTGTTATGTGCTTTGTTCTTATTTTTTGATTTTGATTTTTATCAATTTATATTGTTTGATTGTGGTTTGTTTTTCTTTTGTTTTTTCTCTTTCTTTTTCTTCTCTGTTTTTTCTGTAACTTTAAAACTCTTAATAAATATCATTTTAAAAAAAAATTAAAAATTAAAAATAAACCTCTGCATCTCCAACCATAGGTAATGAGAGCCAAATTGGCTGTGACATTAAATGTTTCTTAGCATTAAGCATCAAAAACATGCAAGAGAACACCTCAAAGGCAGGGTTGTGTGTGGAAAAAAGGCATTGGTTCTTGCATAGAACTCTGTAGTAGTAGTAGTAGTAGTAATAATAATAATAATAATAATAATAATAATAATAATAATTTATTTATACCCTGCCCATCCGGCTGGTTTCCCCAGCCACTCTGGGTAGCTCCCAACCGAATCTTAAAAACACAATACAGCATTAAACATTAAAAACTTCCCTAAACAGGGCCGCCTTCAGTTGTCTTTTAAAAGTAAGATGGTTGCTTATTGCCTTGACATCTGATGGGAGGGCATTCCACAGGGCAGGCACCACTACCAAGAAGGCCCTCTGCCTGGTTCCCTGTAACCTCACTTCTTGCAGTGAGGGAACCACAAGAAGGCCATTGGCTCTGGACCTCAGTGTCTGGGCAGAAGGATGGGGGTGGAGACGCTCCTTCAGGTATACAGGACCGAGGCCGTTTTGTGCTCGGAAATGTACTGGAAGCCAATGCAGGTCTCTCAGGACCGGTGTTATACGGTCTCTTATATAACAGGATCCCAAGAGATGATATACACACTTGTGGGAGAACTGTGTTTGCTGTCAGTTTGGTATTTCCTTCCTTCCTTCCTTCCTTCCTTCCTTCCTTCCTTCCTTCCATCCATCCTTCCTTCCTTGGTGCCACAGTCAAGTTTCTTTTTCAACTAAACAGCAGCTGATCTCTTTGGAAGCCAGAACAACTACTCGCCACCCAAACAATACACCAAGTTCTATACTGGCTGAAAATGCCATACTCCTCAGCATCAACCTTCCTTTCCTTAGCAGCCGTGATTCACTTTGGTCAGGTTAAGTCATATCAGGCAATACCAAGTCTTCATTTGAGAGGAATACCTGACAATGGACTAAAATTCATCCAGTCTTTTATTTCAGCAGCCATAGCGTCCTAATAATAAGCCTGGATAATGATGCACTGGAGGTGGGGTTTTTTTTTTATTAAAACCATGTGATGGTTTTAGCAAACTCTAAAGTGATTGCAATGTTATGATGTTTTTGTTGTTGTTGTTGTGTTGTTTTGCCCACCCCCCCTTTAAATGAGTACTTTGGAGTCCATTTTTCATTCTTCAAAGAAACAGTTAAATTGCTGCATCCCAAAAGGGTTGAGCATTTTACAAACAACACTCACAGGGGAGGGAAATAAAGGAAAATGAACGGTTTTCTACTAATTACTCATATTAGGCCTCTTTGGTGGTCCAAAGCAATAGATTACTTCTTTTTTTATACATATTTCTTCCATCTCCCTGTCACAGGATTGCTTGGGTGATTGCTAGTTTTGTTGTTTCAAATGTCATGCTCTTTCTATTCCCCCGCCCGAGAATCTTTAAAATTAAACATCGGAAAAGTGGAATATACCTGTCATTTAGATCAGCTAGAACAAAAGTCTATGGAAATACATTTCTACTTTGAAGAGGCCTCCCTGCTGATTTTGTTTATCAGAAAATGGCAAGTTTTTGTTCCTAATGGGCTGAAATTTAAATAAAATCTGACCCTGGAAATAAAAGCAGCCATTATGACAAAATAAAATTATATATTTTATAGGCAAAATTGAATTAAAATGCTAGTTTCCTTTGGTTAAATTCTTTTACATAAGGAAATGAGTGCATGCTAGAGAGAATGAGATAGAAAGCTGATTGTTGCAGTAAGCTTTTAAAAAGATCAATAATCTGATGTAATTTATGTTTTAAAAAAAATTGCTAAGACTTCCATACAATATCTTAAATTATAACTACATTTGTGTTTTTCATTGAATTACAATTTGAACTTGAGGTGAATGAATGTAGGGAGATTCAGATGTATCTTGCTGTTTGGCTTTTCGATTGCAACATTCTCCCCAATTAAAGAACAAGCCGTTATCTCGAAAAATATAGGAGAGATTACCAACTGTTGCCACTCTGGTATGCACAGATGCATTTGCCCATTCTCTATGAACACACTTACATAGCTCTTGGCAATTCGTATCATACATCTGGCGTTCTCCCCCTACATCCCTGAAGTCATGAATCTTTGTAGTCCAGTTGTCAACACACAGAGGGGCAATGCGTGGCTTGTTTGGGAGTTGTTCTGTGAGGCAATGGGATAACGGCATCATTCAGTGGCTCATGTGAAAAGGCACAGATGAAATGGCAAACAACTAAAATTTATTCATATTTATGCAAGAGGAAGATTTGGGTCATAAGAAAACGATCCAAGCTGAGACCTCATTGCCGAGGTAACAATAACAACACATTTGACACTTGTCCATAAATCTTAAGTGTAGGTTAATGGTTTGTCACTAGAGATTATGAAGAAATCTGCATGCTATGCACTTGGTGAAGAAGTAAAACAAAGGGCCAGTTTCATACATTCCCTGCAGCCAAAATTCCAGTATATGTATGGTACGGGAACACATGGATGTCCCCCTTCCCCACTGGAACACTCAGTGCTTTTTCCTGGGGTTACGCAGGGCTATGCATACCCCTAAACATTTTGTGAATCTAAGTTTGGCAAAATTGAGGGGCAGTATTTCAATATGAGTAGGAAAATGAGAATACCCCTAAAACAGTTTTTTTTAATAGAAAAAAAAGGACTGGGAACACTGTAAAATGTTATGTGCGTGTCGCACACATGCATCCTACCTTGTACATAGATACAATTTGCACACTTCTTCAAGAAGAAAAGATCATGCAAATCACATGTATCTGTTGATGTCATGTGGTACATGTGCAGAAATCTATGTGTGCACCCGCTCTAGATCAGGGAGGCCTAACTTTTCATACTGAGTGGGTCGCAAGGGTACTTTGACACAGAACTTGCAGGCGACACACTGCCTTGTTGTGCGGTTGGTTGCGGGAGTAAGGCCAAAAAATTGATGGCCCCTCGGCCCTTATACTGCCTTCCCAAAGCTGGTTAAGATTGATTCTGGTTTTGGGAAGGAGGTGTGAGGCTCTGGAAGGGTCCTAGAGCCCTCCTTGCCAAAGCTGTGAAAGCCCTAACAGAGCAGATTTGGGGGAGACGTGGGAGAAGAGAGAAAGAGAGGGGAAGTTCAGTTGCACAAATGGGAATCCTTTGCCAATGGAACAAATGCATCGGCTACCTCTCATAAGTTCTATAGGCAGGCATAATAAGCATAAGCAGACTCTCGCGCATAGAGTCAGCTTCCATAGCTTTGCTTTATTTACTTATTAGCCTCCCTGTGCTGCAGTACTAGACTGCCCATGTTACCCTCATTATCATCATTGCTTTTTCCGTGCATTTACTCAGTGAAAATGTAAACCACTCTCTTTCCCCCGAATGATAAATTGGCTTTTAAGATGCTAATGGTTGGGCCCCATAGTAGCACCGTCTAACAGGAAGTGTCACAATCATATTGTCCTTGCGCTTGATGGAAACTATTTAAATGTCCTATCCCTACATTCAGGAACTGGGGAGTGAATCCAGGAAATCTATTAGTTTTCATTATTTCCTGCAGTAAGGATTTTACAATGCTGATGTGACTTAGTTAAGCTGGTGTGAGGCCAGCTCTGTCAAAATGAAGTTTGGCAAAATTGTTTGGAAAGAAGCAGATCTTCTTGGAAATAACAATTTGGGGGGGGGGGGTTGAGGAGAAGGAGGAAATCTTAAGTTTTATTTCTGAGCTTTAGTGTCTGGTGTAGGAAGGGCTTCTCTTCTGAGAGCTGCTAACCACTTCCACTGATGGCTTCTCACACACAAGGGTGGTCTGCACTTTCTGAAAACCAAGCCACTTTTATGTTAGCATACAGAGTTTTCTCTTAGCTGCTTGGACACAACAGGTAATCAGCTTTCCTCTCTTTGATCTCTCATCCTTTCCTGTGAGTTGTCTGGTTCTCCTAGCATCATAAGGTAAAGGTAAAGGGACCCCTGACCATTAGGTCCAGTCGCAGATGACTCTGGGGTTGCGGCACTCATCTCGCTTTACTGGCCATGGGAGCCGGCGTTTGTCCGCAAACAGCTTCCGGGTCATGTGGCCAGCATGACTAAGCCGCTTCTGGAAAACCAGAGCAGAGCACGGAAACACCGTTTACCTTCCCGTCGGAGCGGTACCTATTTATCTACTTGCACTTTGATGTGCTTTCGAATTGCTAGGTTGGCAGGAGCTGGGACCGAGGAACGGGAGCTCACCCCATTGCGGGGATTCGAACCGCCAATCTTCTGATCAGCAAGTCCTAGGCTCTGTGGTTTAACCCACAGCGCCACCCGCGTCCCTCTCCTAGCATCATACAATGCAGCTAAGCTATAGTTCTTCATTGATTAAGGTAGAAAACTGCAAAACTTGAACTCCTTGTTTATTTAAGACTTCCTCGGATAACAGATAATCGAGCTAGTGAGGCAATATGCCACCTTTGAATGATGACAGATGAAATTGATTGTGGGACCCTTAGGTGATATGAGACTCACACCCCTCCCCCAGTGGAACTGCATGAATCATCTCCATTGGAGTTGAGCGTGCAATGGCGATCTTTGAATGCCAGCAATATTATAACAAGCCATAATGAATGTACACCACCAGCCATGTAATGCAGCCTGTCAGGTTCTAGACAGTTGCTCCTTTCATAATTCAAAGATGCAGCAGAAACATAAATTTTCAAGCATTGCCCCAATGGACAATGTTACACATGGCCAAGAAACTAGAGTCAACTTGGTGGATCCTTTTCTTATAACTTTGTTCTTTAATGACTTAGAGGAGAAGTGGGAACCTGTGGGCCTCCAGATATATTGAACACCAACTCCCATGAGCCCCAACCAATATGGTCAATGGTCAGGAATGATGGGAATTGTGGTCTAGCTCCTTATGGAGGGCCATAAGTTCCCTGTTCCTTATCTAGAGCAGAGAAGTAGCTACGTTTGCTGAAGATACAAATTACTTAAAATGACTAAAACAAAACAGGACTGCAAAGAGCTCCGAAAGGATATGTCTAAACTGGATAAATGGGCAGGAACATAGCAAATGCAATTCAGTGTTTGCAAGCATAAAGTGATGTACACCTGGATAATTATTATTATTATTATTATTATTAATAATAATAATAAATAATAGGCTCAAATCTGTAGTGCCACAAGCTGTTGTTCCCCAAATGACTGCTAGAAGATGGAGGTGGCAGGTGATGGAGGACAGTGATGCTAGAAGCGGGAGGTGATGGAGGACAGTGGAAAAGTGACGTAGCATTAGCATCTGGCATGAACAGCCTCATGCAAGGGCTGATGCTGGTTGCCACAACACCTTTTTTCTTTTTCTTTAATATTTAATATAAGGAACACACAGTCAAGTGGTGTATACATTTTATGAAATAAAATGAATAACTAAAACACACACAAGGAATCGGACAGACCACTGCCTAGAATAGCAAGGAGACTCACCCATGTCCCAGTGTCTTTGGGGTGGGGGTTGAATGAAGAGAGATGATTCCATGCAATTTCAGGGTCTGGATTCCATCCCCTCTCTTGCCAAAAGTGGAGATCAAGGAGCCATAAGGTCTTTTGCAAACCTGCCACCTCTCTGCTATTCATATAGGTATTTTACGTCCTTTAGAGTCCAAATAAAAGGGTAAATGGGTGACGCTGCATGGTTTATGTGCTGGTTAATAAGATTCTCAATATACATCAGATGATTGCAGCACTGGATAGCTGTCCTATCCCTGCTTATGCAAGCATAAGAACCATTCAAGACACCAAGCCTATGGTGGATGTTTGCCAGCTTCCTCCATTGGTGCAATCCAATGAAAATTAATCATGCAGCTAAGTCCCATTGAGGTAATCAGGACAAGTTAGTCCGAAATAATTTAAGTCCTATTGATCTCCAAGGAATGAAGTGTGACTAACTTTGGTTGCATCAGGCCCAATGTATGCTTAACTGTGTGCTTAACTGGCAAGTTAAGCTTTTTATTTCCCCAATGCGCTTTTTAAAAATTGTGCGCCCATTTCTGTGGCGTGCTTTGTTAAGTTGATCTCTTTTCCCTCCTCCAGAAACTGAAATGTACTCCACTCCTTATTTTTTTCCCTCCTTTGAAAATTAAAAGCTTCTACCTTAAAGAAGTGAATGATACATTATCTGCCTTCTCTAAATTGAACCCATTTGGAGCTATTTGCATCCTGTAGAAACCTACAGCTGAGTGCTGCGCTCAGAGGTGTAATGACTGGTTGTCACAACACGCTGGAGGTGGCCCCATAACAAAATGATCCCCTGTCAATCCCCTTGTAGGAAATGCATTGGCAACCTGTAATTCGCCCCCAGTATTAACATCCTGCCTGAGTTTTGTTAAATGGCACTTTCTAGGAAGTAGATTTGGTGAACTTGTGTTTAATAATGTTTTAAGAGGAATTTTTGATGGAAGTTTTAGAAAGCATTGCATGGGGTTAACAGTGATTTGTCATTTGTTTCTAATTAAAGGACCTAATCTCTTATCACTAGAGCTGCCTATTTTTTTATACTAAAGGCACAGATGTGAATGGAAACATACTAATGAGATGTCATACTACACAGTCATTTCATGTTTTGTTTAACTTAAACATAGGAGAAAATGCACATCTAAGTAGACACACGACATGATATTCAAATAGGATTGTAATTTCCCACATTTGCATAACTTTCAGTAACATTCGATTTCAATCTTACCTTGCATCCTTTACTATTTGATTTCCAAAAACTCCTTTTGCAGCAAACATCACAAACAAAGGAACAGTAGTAATAGTGGCATTGTTCAATAGGCCCTGTTAAAATATATTTTTTCTCTCTCCTTCATACACATTGAGCAATGCCTGCTCATCCAGTCATGATGGATTATTCCAGTTTTGATATAAAAGCATGGCAAAGAAGCTGCTTTTTCATCAGTCCAAAGTCATTGGGTTTTTCTGCGGAACTGGTTTGGAACTCCACCCAAGAGCAACAACACTGAAACGGAGTTCAGTTCCCTTCAAACTCTAAAACCCTCTTGTGGCATTCTAACGCCCTCCCCTGACCAGGGAGAGCAGCACTGAGAATGATAGGTCCACCCTCCCACCACCTCCCATCTGCCCAATAATGTTCTGGGTGGATGTATACAAAGACCACAAAGACCACTTCCTTCTCCATTCACATAGGGCAGGTGCAGGGCGGAGGAGGCAGAGATAGCGTAATCAAGGGAAGGGCTTTCCAATGCAGATCAAGTAATCACACTCACCCTTCTCGATGGCAGGCTATAGAATTAACCTAGATCGAAAGCAGCATGTTGAGGATGAGCATGCATGATTCTGTATTGAGAAAAAACTCCATTATTTGCACTTTTAGGGCTCATCCGCACTTCACTTTGCTCAAGCCTAGAAAGCATGGGTGCGAGATGTTTTCCATTTGCCCCAGTACTTTAAACATTACCCGGCAAAGCTGTCTGTGGAAAAATGCCAGCTCCCTCAGCCTGAAAAGCAGAGATAAGCACTACACCCCATAGTCAAATTAGACTGGACTTAACCATCCAGGGTCCTTTACCTTTTACCCCAGGTAAACACACTCTTTACTGCTAAATAAGAGCGCATATCAATCCAAAGAAAACCCAATGGACATTTGCTCCAATTGAGCAGTAGAGAATGGGTTTTCTTGGGGGAAACTGGTGGGACAAGCAAAAGTGTGGGTGAGCCTTTATTTGGCATGTTTGTCATTTTGTTTCCATTAGTACTAGGTTGCCCCTAAGTGGCTCTTTTTCATTTCTTTACTACTATAACTATTCATTTTGGTTAGTTCTTGGGGAACATGGAAGGCTGGCTTGAGATGGGTTTTTGTGCTTCTTTATTTATACAATGGTGAATGACTGAAAGACATTAAAGCAATAAAATCTGCAAATAAAAAAGTGGCACAGTGAATTTGCATAGCTATATGCATTTTGCACACCGCATACATGACCATGAGACAGAGCATTTCATTATCAGTGATCTTCTTGCACTTCTTGTATGGTTTAGTTCAAAATTGTTAAGCCCAATTATGAAAGAACACTGAGGTCACATTTCAGCGAAGCTTAGCTGTGACTAAGCTTTGCTGAATCTGAAATTTATGGAATCTTAGCTAGTCATGATTACTCCCATTCCATTCTTTTCAATGGAATGTGCAGCCTGATCCTACAACTGTTTACTCAGAATTAAGTCTGAATGTGTTTAGGAGTGAGCCTTACTCAATGGTAAGCGTATTTTGAATTGCAGCCTTAGCCATGATTTATTTTCATTGCGTTGGGATAAAAGTGTGAACATAGCCTGTTGATAAATATTTCTTTAATGCATGTAATTACTGGATCAGCAGAATAAATGTGGTCATGTCCTTGTAATTAATACATTGTCAAAAGTTCATTTAAGTATAATAATTTTACAGGGGAAATGCTGTCGATGTTGTTCCTGCAATAATTTGTTAAATTAAGCGCAATAAATATAATGTTACTGTGAGGTATATATTTATTTTTAAGCTCTTCCCAATATTACTGATTCAGTTAATGCAATCAAGACAGCTTTTCTTCCCCCCCATCCCATCTTCTATTTTATATTTAAATGGTGCTAAGATAAGTAAGTATGTTGTGTGGGGAAGGGGAAGGTCATTTTTCAGTAGCTGAAGAAATCACTAAGCATTGCATTTCCACTTGGCAAATATTTAATTAAGAATTGTGTGTGTATCCATGTCTAATGGTTAAATGTTTGCTGGAGATTGGTTTCGTGTTGCTTCTATTCCAAAATATATGATAGACAGACAGAGCGCTGAACCAATATCACATGCTGTGACCAACATAAAGTTGCCTCCTTGGATAAATTTTGACAAAGCGAAAGAGAACTTGCAGACCTTGCAGTGACCACTTCAGAACCTCTTGGTACCTGCCCAAGGAGCAATGCCCAAATCCAGAACCAAAGTGAATTTGGAGCAATTCAGGCTTTGGGCAAAGTGAAGAAAGCTCTCTATGAAGTGACTCAAAGTGAATCAAGATGCTCCAAAAACGTTGGGTGCACCTCAGAGATTCAGAGGATGAAGACAGAGACAGATAATGTAATACTGTCTATAAAACATGGTTACATTTCTCTCTCCAAGCTTTTCATAAAAGGAAAATGGCAGTAAACGAGAGGAAGAAAAGAAGGATATACTCTTGTGACTGACAGTTCCTGCTTGCAACCAGGCAAGTTCTTTTCTAGGAAAATAGCACTGGGTAGAAGTAGGACTTACCAGTTGGTGTCGATTCAGGGTAATTACCCTAAAAGACTGCTTATAACCCTTTAAAACAAATTAGCAACTAAGCAAATTTCATACATACAGAAACATTACAATATGATGTTTTGTTTTCAAAACAGCCATTTTTGTCCACCCCGACTTAAGCACCACATTCTGCCCACTCTGTCATATTGGTCTTCGGGTCTGCTTGGCATAAATATCTTCTGAGCATTCAAAAGTGATAAAAACAACCCCCAATTCCTCTCAGCTAGAACAGAGCCTGTTATATCCAGTAATGTCAGAGTAACACTTATATCTGCTTCACCAGAATATAAATGTTACTTGACCCTGAAAACTGCTCATGAAGCATGTCTGACATCCTGTAATTTAGCAAAAAGATACATTGGCAAACATCATTTGGATAGAAGGACTTTAGATGCTTACAAGAAACCATTAAAAATAGCATTAGAGAGCTTTAAGGGAATTGGCTTCTGTAATTTTGCATTATCAATTTGCACTACATTGTTACATGTATTGACAAGTTGGTAGTGTGAACATAGCAGTCTATAGACAAAGTGATATTAATTATGCACTTTTTATTTTGTGATGCACTTGTGAAAATGTTTGTGTGTGTGTTCATAGACAGATTCAAGTCAAGGATTTTCAAATCTATACTTTTATGACAGCCCTATATCTGTGTGATATTTCAATCATTCTAAAAATAAAGATTTCACTGGGATATCAATATAGTGTAATTAGTCTTATTTATGTGTTTTGTTTTGTTTAATTAGCGCACTTTGCCCAAAGTGGGGGTGGGAAATGCATGAAGCTTAGCCACCCAAAAGATCTCACACCTATCATGAATATAGGTTTTATGACAGCTTTCAAAAGATCTATTTAAGCGGGGTGTGTGTGGGTGTGTGCAGAATGCAAGTTTAGTAGCACCAAGCGCACACAAATTAAGCAGTAGGAAAAGCTAAGAGGAAGAGTTCAGTGTGGTGGCTCAGTTAGAGTCAGACTTTGAGACTCGACTCTGTTGTGCCACAACCTGTTTTTCCCCAAATAACTGCTAGAAGAGGCAGCAGTCGCAGGTGATGGAAGACAGTGGAAAATAGATGTGGCATCAGCATCTGGTGTGAACAGCCTCATACAAGGGCTGATGCTGGTTGCCACAAGAACTTTTTTCTTTTTCTTTAATATTTATGAACATAGGAACACAAGAAGAGCCTGCTAGATCAGCCTATCTAGTTCTCACAGTGGCCAACCAGATGTCTGTGGGAAACCTGCAGGCAGGATTTGGGCAAAGAGCACTCCATTTAGTGGTGTGTATATGCTGGAATCTAAGGGTACATGGCTGTTGTGTCCTCTTCATGCCGCCATCCCCTAGCCATCCCTCCTGATACCCACAGGTGTTGGTATTTCCAGTCTGCAAATGGTGACGTTTCCCCGTTAACTGCAATGAGTTTCCTTTGCACTGAAATGACTGGGATGGGGTAACGTAAACGACAATGCAACTTACACAATTAATTACATAAATTAAGCAAGTTACATTGTGTTGACACCGTGGCAGTGAGACAAATAAATTAGTTTCGGGGGAAGAGGTTGAACTGCAGCAAAACAGAAACACTGCTGTGTGTTACTAATGCAGGACAGAATGGAAAATGATGCTTTCCTACATCCCAGTGATGTCCCTCATGTTCAGAGAAAGCTCTTTGATCCAGCAGAGACTTCCACCAGGAAAACAGGGATCCCCTTGCATCACCTCCTATGTTGTTTCAAAGGGCCCCCTGATTCTCTTGAGCAGACTTGGGGTGTGTGCAGGGAGCTGTAGCAGGAAAGAGGGAATTGGTGGGAACCGATTTCCTTTCTGTTCCACAGATGGAAGCTTCTGCTGGATCAAAAACCCATCCCTTGTGAGGGACACCGTAGGGTACTACCCTAATTCAAGCTGTCACTCTAGATTTAATACTGGTTATTATTATTCAAAGCTTTTGCCTGCACTTCTTCAGTTTTCTTAGGATATGTGGCTCTGTGCTGTCCCCCCCTCCCTTTTTACCCAAGTCCTACCATAGCCAAACACCGAAAAGCATTCAGCAAATTGTTTGGATGCTTTAACCTAGCAAAAGAGGAGGAACTCCACTTGACTCTGGAAGGGGGGGAAAAGTCAGCAAACTTAAGGTCTTTTCTCTCATACCAGATGTTACTGAGTTTACCCGCTGCTTTCATTACTTAGCTGTTTCCACTTAAACCCCCAGGGGCTGGGATGGTTATGTTCTTAGAACAACCCTTTATTCATCAGTCAGAATTATGTGTTTTTAGACTTCCAATAAATGCTTCTGCAATCACAGAAACTGCAGCATAGTGTATCCATCTAGCGGCAGTTCACCACTGGTTCACAAATTACATTCTTCCACTAGTTTCTGAACTCAGAGACAAATGGAGAAGAGGGATCAACGATCATGTGCAAGGAAGGGGATAAAAGACGAGGGGCTAGTTTACAAGAGCCCATCCTCAGAAAACATTATTTTAACTTGTTTTTATCACACGCTGCTTCCCCATTCATAGTTCTATAAACATCTATCAAAGCACTCAAAGCACATTTTATCCCTCATAACATTTTGCAGATGGGGCTCCTTACTAATAATTTTATCGGGTTTTCATTAGAGAGTGTGCCAGTGTTTGTGTACTATAGATTTTTTCTTTAGGGAATTACATGGACTCATTTGAAATGTTTACTTTGTCTGGATGATTGAAACTTTTGCTGACATTACATTTCATGGGACTCACCTCTTGGCTTGTTATGGTTGCTTTGTAGAAGGGGTCACCTTGGAATTTTGAGAAAGTACATTGGTGCCGGTCACAAAATGGTTGCTGTGGAGGCAGGGCATCACACAAAATGGCTGACATGGGGCATGGTATTGCACAAAATGGCCACCATATTCAATAGAGCAGAAAAAGGTTTAGAGCAGGGGTAGGCAACCTAAGGCCCATGGGCCACAAGTGGCCCACAGGGGTCATTTAACCGGCCCACGAGCTACCCCCGAACCAAGCAGCCTGCTCGGCGAGTCCCCTCACACTGCGCTAAACCAGCGCGACACGGAGACTCGCTTCTGCGGTACCAGAAATAGTGTCTGCGCAGACGCAGATGCTGGAAATTGCATCTGCACAGACGTAGAAGCCAGAAATCGTGGGCGCACGCACGATCCAGCCCATGGAGGGATCTCCGCTGGAGTGAACTGGCCCAGGCGAGGTAAACCTTGCCGACCCCTGGTCTAGAGCCACAAAATAGTATAGGTTTGCTACCATCAGTTGGCATGGAGGGCAACCATTTAGATCAGCCACTACTTCACTTGATCACAGAGCGTAGCTATTTGCATCTCTCCTCTGTTCAAAATGGACTGGCATGTGGATGTCCAATTGGGAGATCCAATGAGATGTGCTTATGTTTAATCAGGCTCAGACAGGGCAGGGAGAGTAAATGGCCTCTTGTGCACGGTGGATTTTTTGAGGGGATATTTACTGAGACCATTTGTAGGGACTATAAGATGTGCTGGCAGGTTAACGCAGTGTCCATTGGAGCCATGTGGGCAACTCCTCCTTTATAAGATAGATAATTTCTGCAAGGGTATTAACACAGTGCTATACTGTGGAGTGCTGCATTGCGAAAGCTCTGCCCAGTTTTGCTTCCTTGTGGTTTCTTTAACATGACAGAAGCAGCCCAGTACAATGAAGATATATCAGTGAAATAGCCCGTTGGCCTCAACATTTGCCACCTCTGTCCACTCATGTCACACCACTGTCTATATTTGCTTCCTTTGGACCAACAGTGTGCAGCATCATTTAGGTTGGAGTTGAAAAACAAGGCCCACTTAACATATCTTACACTCTTTGAGTTTCATCTTTACCTCCTAAGGTGAGAAGCAGATGTTTCCCTCCATAACAGTGCTTCTGTGTTTTGTATAAAATCCACATCTTTAAACAACCTATATAAACCCAAGTATGTCCATGCATTTTAAGTTTAAAATATAAGGGGGGAGGGGGGAAGAAACACTTAGTATACTCTGCAAATTTCAGACCAGGCAAAAGCAGAGTAGGGAATAAACATAGAGCAAACACCAGGATATATGAGAGAGTAAGCATAATGGATCAGAATAAGGCCCTAAATCAATTTTATTTCCACAATTCTAGCTTCATAAAGGGGTGGGTGGCAGTAAACCAATTATTATGCAACTTAATGAACTAATTAGCAAAATCAGAGCAGTAATAGTACTGGGTACTGACTGATCTGAATATAAAAAGTAGAATTAGCTTTCTAGTACTGAAGTTTTCCGTCCAGAAGATTATATAATAACTTTTACAACATTCCTAATTTGGGTGTGCGGGCCATTGGAAGAGAATCTGTGATGGAGAGAAACAGCTTACTAAGTATCTACACACCACAAAGGAGTCACAATGTGACTTGATAAGCATCATGCATAGCCTGATCTGTACATGTTTCTGTAACTCAAGAAAAACACGGCACCCGATCCTCTGCCACAAGAAGCACAGAGTGTGTAGAATGTAACCTGAGAAATCCTTTACATTTGGAGACTGGTACAAGTCAAACCCAATTCCTCATCTTTTACCTTATCCCAGGATCATGCATGACCCTAGACCTCCTTGCTGGGGTGTGTGTGTTTGTTTGCTTACCCTTGAAGATGAATGCCCACGAGCTCCCTAACACTTGGAAAATTTATGTACATGGTGTTCTTTTAATGAAAGCAGCCAAATGTGTGGAAATCCGCAGCATCAGGATGTCCCTGTTTTCATCAGAGAAATGCTGTAGGGTATGGAATAGGATGCCAGTACTTTCATGTTGGAGGGCATGCAGCATGGCCAGTGGGCACAAGCTTCATCTCCACTAACTGCAAGAGGGGAATTAACCTCCACCAGTGTTGTTTCAAAAGTAGAGTCAAGCGGAGATGAAATTCAATTGCAAATTCCCAAATGTTCCAGGCTGAGGCTTACAAGGGCTGAGTACCAGATTCAGCCAAACCCCAAACTTTCATTGGACTAGATGACCCCTGAGAGTACCTCCTGACTCTTCTTTGATTATATGATTCATGGGGATCTGGGCTTTGGCTAAGTTAGATCAAGACAGCCCTGGATACCTCAATCTGGTTGAGCCACCCAGAAAGATCCAAGGCTGTCAGGGGTGGGATATCAGGCAGGAAGGCTGCAGGGGTCTCTTTCACTCGTATGTTCTCCACAGGCAGTGTGCTGGGGAAGCAGCACCCAGAAGGATTGAATCCTCTGCTTACCTGCTAGTAAGCCATTGGGGAGTAGGAACAACACTGCCCCTCCAATTAAATTCTCAGGCTCAGGCTTATCCATTCAAGGTTATTTAATTTTATAAACTGACATGTTCTCTGGATATTTACTTAGGTTTAGAGTGATACACACTGGAACCTCATGAATCAGCTAGAATGGTCCAATATAAGGAAGATACATGCTGTTTAGATCACATTGGTGATGGCACTGGGCACAGAATTTGTAAGGTAAAGGTAAAGGGACCCCTGACCATTAGGTCCAGTCGTGACCGACTGGGGTTGCAGCGCTCATCTCGCTTTATTGGCCGAGGGAGCCAGCATACAGCTTCCAGGTCATGTGGCCAGCATGACTAAGCTGCTTCTGGCGAACCAGAGCAGTGCACGGAAATGCCGTTTACCTTCCCGCCAGAGCGGTACCTATTTATCTACTTGCACTTTGACGTGCTTTCGAACTGCTAGGTTGGCAGGAGCAGGGACCAAACAACGGGAGCTCACCCTGTTGTGGGGATTCGAACCGCCGACCTTCTGATCAGGCTCTGTGGTTTAACCCACAGCACCACCCGCGTCCCAAAATTTGTGGCTGTAGATAATACTGATAAATATGGAAAGGCTGTTGGATTCTATGACATTTAACCCTCATGAAATGTATTTATCTATAAAAAATATTTATGCACTGCTAATTCATAAAAAAAAGCAGAGCATTTTTTCCATGCAATAAAATCATTTTAAAAAACAAATCAGAAATTGGATATCTATTCCAGAAAAATGTATTCATAATTGCCTGCATAAGCCTAATGCAATAAAAGAAGTTTTCAGCAGGCATTTAAAAGCTGAAACAGAAGATGCCTGCTGAATCTCTATTGGCAAAGTGTTCCACAAGATTGGGTAGACGACACAAAAGGCTCATTTTCTTGTTACTGTCAAATGGGCCGTGCCAACTCAGGAAATGACCAGTGACACTCATGCAGATGATCTCAGTGACTGAGCTGGGATATAAGGGTTCAGGCCTTCCCTAAGGTACCCTGGACCTAAGTTGTTCAGGTCTTTGTAACTTAATAGAAGGACCTTGAATCTGGCTCTGTAGTAGATGGGCAGTCAGTGAAGATGCCTTAACAGTGGTGTTAAATGTTGTTGGTCAGGTGCCCCCATCCGGAGACCGGGCATCGCATTCTGCACCATGTAAAATATGTAGGCCCACATGACCCTCTTTTAATCTACACACCTTCCAATTTATCACCCTCTGCATGCAGACGCATAACTAGATCTAATGTAGATTGAACTTTTTGTCTCTTTTGATTTACAGCGAGGAAGCTTGACCAGCTTTGTCTTCGTTTACAGAAGCAACAATACGGAAAAGAAGTGGATTCATTGGTGTACACATTCTAGCCATGAGCCATCAACTAAAAGCCATTGTTGGCCCTCAAGCTGCCTTGTAGGCATCCTTTCCCTGACAGGGTGCTTTCCCTGCCAGCATTGGAACATGTACCCTTAGTTTGCCAGATCACAAGCCGTGCCATTTTAAACTTCTAAAATTTTGTAAATAATGGACTTGCTCATTGAAGGTGAAAAATCAAAGGCAGAGACTAATCTATTAGAGGACAGAGTCAGATGCTGCTTCTCCTTGAAAACAGATAGTGTGGATATGTGCATTCTCCATCTATATTTATTTCTTTTGATTTTTAGCTTCCTTGGACCCCATGGGTTTATATTATGGTTGTATTAAAGTCAATTTCTCCTCAGCTGTTCTCTAACAATTAGTACTTTGAGACAGGGGGCAACAAATTTTACATTTTTAACCTAAGTGATGTTCAGGTATTTTACTTGTAAAGACAGAATTAATCTGCTTGTAAAACGGAATTAACCCCTCAGCACATTATTTGGGGAGATGCTAACTTGTGTGAACTAACTTCACAGAACTTTTGAGAACATTAAACATAGGGGGAACAGTGTCTGTTTTACATTCTAATATTGCATTGATATGACTTGGGGCTAGCTTTGTTTATTTTATTTTTTTCAGAAAAGCACTGTCAAAACTATGTTTTGAAATGGAAGAGGGGGGCATCGTGCAGAATATTTGAATTGTTTCAAAGAGGAGAGAAAAACCCAGAGCAGACTGTTAGAAAGGAACATTTCCAATACAATTTGTCACCCATGCATAAATCTTGCTGACATTTTCAGTCACTTTAATAGCCTGCCCATTTTATAAATCAGTATGAACTTGCACAGTTGCAAAAAGTGTGTATTTTGAACATCTCATTTGCATACTTTACCAAAAGCCAATGAGGCAGTGGAAGGCAACACTGGTGATCATAATAAGTGTTTGGGGAAAGGCAGAGAGATCACTAATGGTTTGCCTTTAGGGATTTCTGTACTCCATAGGGGATGAAAATGAGAAGTATTTTTCAAACAGTAGGGGGTAAAGGTTTTAAAACTAGAAACACATGGAATGATAAAGATGCTAGTGCCACAGGGTGCATAGCGGGGAAAAAATTACAATGTAAAAAATTGTAATTTCAGCATTAGGAAGTAATAATCGTGTTTCATCATTGTTATTAAAGCATGACCCTTAAAGCCACATAAATTAGATATAACTTTTGAAAGAAGTTTATTAATCTTCAATGGGAAATATTTAGAAAGTTTATAATCATGGGAAGAGCAGATTTTCAGTGAAATATATTTTTTGTTTCCTTCTTGAAGGAGACAACTTTCAGGAAAGAGGTCTTTCCTTCTCCTGCTGCATTAAAACAAACAACCTTTTATTTACTCGTGCTCGCTAGCTAATGAGAAATCCATGTACTGTTTTCTGAGCTCATCATGATTTTGTCTTGATCAGTAAAAGACTGAGTAAAAGTTTAGACATTTGCACCTTTAAAATTCACAAAGAAGACTCATGTGGTGCCTTTAATTTAAACAAGACCAGATAATTGGTAGTGTTAGATCATGTGGAAAACTGGAATATTGTGCCATGGTTAGTGCATAGTCAAGGTAACCTAAAGCAGACTTGTACCACATCCTGTTACCTAGGGCACATTTTGGGTTGCTTCTAGATCATGTGTCTATAGATATTTACCTTCATTGTTGCTATTCACTGTTGACATGTTTTGCTGATTGGGACATTTAATGCCAGCTTTACTTATCATGGAGGATAAGGCTATCAAAGGCATTTGGTTGGCCACTTTGAGAACAGAATGTTGGCCTAGATGGGTCTTTGGCTTGATGTAATAGGACTCTTCTTATGTTGCACTACCTACTGCTTTGCCAGCTTATTCACTATTTCACTGAGCCTGCTAAGAGTGATGCTGATTGTTCCGACATATGACTGCCTTGGTGGATAAAAGAACCGCATTCAAATTGCTGCTCAAGACATGACATCCCAACTCGCCCATCCCAATCTACCAAATTCTGATGCCGGGAAGAATGCTTGCTCTGATACATAATATGCTATCACACCAATTAGCTGCCCAGGAGAGGAAATAGTTTTAGTTTCCTCTTCCCTTCATCTTAAGCAGCAGATGATTGGAATAGGTTGGAGGTGGGTAGGTGAAAAAGAGAGGAAGTCATGTTATTGGTCTGATACTGCCTGTGAGCTCCCAGGTGACTGATCCTGATTCAAGTTTCAATTTTTGTATGCAGATAGGGAGTTGAGCCTAGGAAAAGGATGGGAATGGGGGTTGAAGGAGCTATTTGAGAAAGAAAATGTTGTGTTTATGACAGTCATGAATATTGCTCACAGAATAAATAGTTGAGGGTAGGGTTGTGAAAGTGGGGACAGGATGCACGATGTGAAGAAAATGGATAGATTCTCTTATTTGATTGTTTTTTTACCTCTTCTATCTTTGTGTGTATTTTCAGTTGTATCTCTTCTAATTTATGCGGTGAACCTCCTTGGGTCCTGCCCTGGGAGAAAAGCAGGATATAAAATAAATAAAATAGTAGTAGAATCAGGAGCCACCCAACAAAGGTGAAGATATATGAGAGGAAGCAGTTCTTCACACAAGGCATAGTTAAACTATGGAATTTACTATGCCATGAAGTGATGATGACCACCAACCTCGAAGGTTCAAAAGGAGATTAGATGCTTTCATGGAGAATAAAGCTATCAGTGGCTGTGGGTCTTGATGGCTCTGTGTTGTTTCCATGATCAGAGACAGCATTTCCTTGGAACAGATGGGAGAGAACATCAAGAAAGGACAATTATCCTCATATCCTGCCTGTGAGTTTGCCACTAGTGAGAAACAGCGCCTTGTTAGTCTGCAGAGAGCTTAACCATGAGCCCAAATTCAGATGACATGCTATGACAAATCTTGGCTTAGCTCAGCATGACACAGCAACAAAAGAGACCTGGGTGCAGCATAGTGGCAATGAGATTCTTTCTGGGAGCATGAATGTTTGTGCTGTCCCATTAAACTATGGTTTACCGGGGCATGATGTACAAACCAGACCACAGAGCTACTACTTGCTTTCCCAATGTTTCTGTGTTTTCAAGAGAAGCACAATGATGAAAAATGTCTCCTATCACTACAGCTCCATTCCAATAATAGCTGCACCAGCTGAATGTATCTGTCTTTCTCTTCCACAGCTGTTTGAAGCACAGGAGCCTATTTTGTTGCTAAACTCACCTCTGTAACAACACATCCTGCTTGCTCTGAGTTCTTGAGACTACCAGTCCAACATAGCACAACCAAACCTGTCATTTAGCTATGCCAATAATAATAATAATAATAATAATAATAATAATAATGTCTTATATAGACATTTGTGTATATAATATCTCACTATGTATATTACCCAGAACACCTGGCCATTTATGGACCGCTGTGTGGATTAGGTTCAGTAGTATATTTCACAAGCTCGGTTTCTTTAATTAACCTGTATCCCTCAACTTTCAAAAAAAGAAAAAAGAAATCCTTCTGTTGGCTTTTCAGGCAGATGGTGTAGGTATGAGGAAAAACCTACAATCCCTTCCTTGGGATGGGATTAATTTACTCTGTCCTCGGAGCCTTTTCTGTCTCTTTAACACATCTGCTTAATATCATGCTGCATCTTAAAATCCTGTTAAACCAGCAAATCTGCTTTCTTCCATGTAATGACTATTCATATCAAGAACCATTACATCCTGCAAACAAACAGATTACAACACACCACTTTTCATCGTAAACAGACCATTTAGAAAAAGGAAGCTGGAGCACATGTATGAGAACAGGTGGGCTGAAGGGGTTTGCCAGACTGCATTTCACACCCAGAAAAAACAACACACAACATACTGCAGCATCTCACTTATTCCTGTTGCCAAGAGTTAAATAAAGTGAAAACTTTTTAACAACCGGTACATCAGCTGGATTATGGTGCTGAGCATGGGGATGATAATGACACTTTAACGATTTCCCGGTGAGATTACCCCAATTTGTGTTTCAGCACAAGGTATTTATGCTTTTAAAAAGAGAGCGTCAACTGCCAGATATCCCTGCTACCTCAATTTACCACCAGGTAACTCCAACTGAGAAATGAAGAGAGAAGCGCCAGTTTAATTGCAGAATGTGATTTGCAATAACCTGTTAGGCAGTGTGGCAAGTCATTTTAAAGTAACAAGAAGGCTATACCAATGCAAAAGCTTAGGTGAGTAAGGCTTTCTTCAGATCTGTATCAGATTGGACTTAGAAACAGCAACACTCATAAACTTTTGAACTCAGAGCAGATGTGGACATTCATCGAGTGCTGCAACTGTTCTTGGACTCTGCAGCTTCAAAGCAGAGGTAAGGGACTCTTGCGTCTGAGTAATCTCCACCTACCTTGTCATATACGGTATGTGTGTTTGTCCCTCCATACAGAAAGCTAGCATGTGAGAAAGGTTAGACCAGAATGAAGCTAGCTGGCATGCTAATTGTCTGTTTGTAGGAAGATCTGTTTTGTTTTGGGTGTTGTTTGCTGTTATTTGTGGCAGAGCAGTCTACAATCACCCTAGCCTTTGCAGTCTGAAATGATATATTCCAGTGAAATGATGGGATTCAGCTGCATGTAAAGACTGGCTGGTAGAGACAGCACTGACTTCCGTGAGTTGTGGCACATGCAGAATCCAGGGGTGTGGAATGCAGGCCTGCAGCTGGCTCAAGTGAGAGGCAGGCAATACAGAAGTTTGAGTGCAGCCACATGTCACACGCCTTTGCACAGCCAGCCTGAGAAGGCGCTATAGTTCAAATTTGGTCAGCACCCACCCTTCTGTTCTCCATCATCATGCAGAAAAGGTAAAGGCTGGTTACCTAACAGGCTACAGTTCTGCCCTTGTGTGCAAGCGCTATATATCAGTATCATTCAGGGGCATTTAATTTGGTGCCTTTCAGATGTTGTTAGACTACAACCCCCACCATCCCTTTGGCAATGCTGGCTGGGGCTGATGGGAGCTGGAATCTACTGACATCTTCAGGGCACTATGTTGGCTACTCCAATCTAAATCAATAGATAACATGTTGACACAGGGAGGAGAACACTGCAGAAGGAGGAAATATTGACAGTTTCAAAGCAAATTTTTTTTTTAAGTGAAAGGCAAAATCCAACCCTAATTAAGCACTTTCCCCCAAATGAGTTCTATAGGATAGATTTAAGGAGATTCTTTACTCTTTCACTGACATCAATGGAACTACAAAGTGCTTTATATGGGGGTGGAGTGTAACAAAAAAATAGGGTTTGTTTTAATAAAAAGCATCTATTTCTCTCAAGCACCTAAAATATTGAGCTCGTCTATCCAGCTGCTGATGTTTGAGGGTGACTGAGCTGCCTAGTCATGCGAAGCAATTCATTTAGGGATTCCCAAGAGACCGTATAGTTGGAAGCCAACCTAGAATCACAGGAAAAAACAAGAATACACAGATGACACCCGCAATCACGTTAGCGCACATTGCCAAAATTCAACTGCTTGATATCACATGCCCAAGCAATCCTTTATAATAATTGCACCACCACCAGGAATCAGATCTTATAATCCTCCTCCTAGACATTGAGCTACTACAAGCCTTATATATTATTTTTGCTAAGCTAATTTAATAAACTCTTGGTGCAGTTTCCCCATTGATGAAGATGACTAGGGTTGCAATCCTAATAAAACTGACTTGGAAGGAGGCCCATTTAATTTAATGGGACTTTCTTCTGAATAGACTGTAAGGTTGCCATCCTATGCACACGTTTCCTGGAGTAGGTCTCATAAAACAAAGCGAGACTTCCTTGCATAGGATCATTTTATTTTATTTATTTATTGCATTTATACCTCTTTGGGTGTGTTTTTATGTTGTAAACTGCCCTGTGATCTTCAGATGAAGTGGTATATAAATAATAATAATTCCCCTCCAAGGAGTTCAAAGTGGTTCTCTTCTTTCTCATTTATTCCCCACAACCACCCAGTGGTATTTGTTGTTGTTTAGTCGTTTAGTCGTGTCCAACTCTTCGTGACCCCATGGACCAGAGCACGCCAGGCACTCCTGTCTTCCACTGCCTCCTGCAGTTTAGTCAAACTCATGCTGGTAGCTTCAAGAACACTATCCAACCATCTCGTCCTCTGTCGTCCCCTTCTCCTTGTGCCCTCCATCTTTCCCAACATCAGGGTCTTTTCCAGGGAGTCTTCTCTTCTCATGAGGTGGCCAAAGTATTGGAGGGACAGATCGTGAAGCTGAGGCTCCAATACTTTGACCCAGTGGTATAGGTTAGGTTAAGAGACTGTGACTGGCCCGTGGTCACCCAGTGAGCTTCATGGCTAAGTGGGGATTTAACCTTGGTCTTCCAGGTCCTGGTCCTAACCACTGCACCACACTGGTTCCCATGTTCTGCACAAGTATCTGAAGATGCTCTACTACTTAGCCATAGATGGGCAAATGTCTTAGGTATGTTCTCACAATTTGACTCCACTTTGGAGGTGATAATTTGGAAATGTCAAGAAAGCAGGGAAAGGTTTCAGAACAGCTGTGGTGTACTGCAACACCTGCTCTCAAAGCATCACTTTTGATATGGTGCAATGATCACATTTACTTTGTCATTCTTTCCAGTGCCCCAGCTTTTACTTTCCTGAGCTGCGGAAATGAGAATTGCTTCAATGAACAATTATGCATTGTAGTCAATCCAACAGATACAGGTGAGAAGTGGAAAGTTATAGTTATGCGATTCTCCACACATCTTAGTTGTAAAGCTGTAACGTGAGTATGAAGAACGAGCTTGTCTGTGACCATAGAGAATGATGCTAATAGAATATGATGCTAGGCTCAAAGCAAAGCTGACCGGGCTATTGGTATGCAATGCTGGGGATGAGGGAATCCTATCTTACTGTGTACAATGGCGGCGGCAGCAACAGCAAAAGTTTTTCCATAGAGCCGAATGGGTTTGCAAAAAACAGAAAGCAGCTGCAGAAGCTGGCATATTGTGGCATCAAAACTGCTTACTCTCACAGATGAGATTGGCACAAACGAACAGGAGTGAATGTGGGGGTGATGCTAACCGAGCCGAGCTAATCTGCATATATTACAAAGAAAGCAGAGCTTTGCATAGCAATCCATCTCTGAAGTAGGTCCCAGGGAACACCTTTCGTTTCAGTGGGGATGGAGAAGGCAGCTGCAAACGGTTTTGGCAAGACCGACCGCTGCGCTCACATGTCACCCACTTACCGCTGATGACTCTTTGCTTGGTCCGAAGATAGTTTTGCTGCAGCAGGCGGTCCCCTCCAAATGCGCTCTTGGAAAACATCATCACACACCTTGGTATTACTCTAGTGTGAGCTGAGGGGAGAAAAGAGTCATCTCCCCATTTAGAGACTCGTAATGTGGCAAAACTGCTGTGGACGTCTAACTTGCAGAATTTTGACATGGAACCGCGGGGGATGGATCTGATGGAAGGATCAGAAAAAAGCATACAAAATCCGGGGTTCTGATTTGACCCTTGAGTATATCTAAATAGTTTGAATATGTCCTGTTGTTGTTGTTTAGTCGTTTAGTCATGTCCGACTCTTCGTGACCCCATGGACCAGAGCACACCAGGCACTCCTGTCTTCCACTGTCAAACTCATGCTGGTAGCTTCGAGAACACTGTCCAGCCATCTCGTCCTCTGTCGTCACCTTCTTTTTGTGCCCTCCATCTTTCCCAGCATCAGGGTCTTTTCCAGGGAGTCTTCTCTTCTCATGAGGTGGCCAAAGTATTGGAGCCTCAGCTTCATGATCTGTCCTTCCAGTGAGCACTCAGGGCTGATTTCCTTAAGAATGGATAGGTTTGATCTTCTTGCAGTCCATGGGACTCTTAAGAGTCTCCTCCAGCACCATAATTCAAAAGCATCAATTCTTTGGCGACCAGCCTTCTTTATGGTCCAGCTTTCACTTCCATACATCACTACTGGGAAAACCATAGCTTTTACTATACGGACCTTTGTTGGCAAAGTGATGTCTCTACTTTTAAAGATGCTGTCTAGGAATATGTCCTAAACCCCTTTAAATGTTTTGTTGAATGCGTCCCCCACCCGCCATCTTGAGGGCATAGTTAATAATCAAGTCAGCTTTAGCTTCAGTGAAACAAATGGCGGCACCCTCTATTTTCTGGGTGCTGTAAGTTCATTCATACACCTCACATTTAAAAGCAAAAGCACCTGTGTTTGATTAGGATGATGTATGCACCTGTGTCAGGCAACAGTTCTTCCCTAGAGCTGATAAATAGGCATCAGTTCTACTTTTTGGACCTTTATAACCAGTCCTAGGACTTCACAGTAAGGAGTGTTTTGAATATCACATGTAATGATGACTCACCATAGTCTATTATTGTCATTCAGACCAGCAAACAGGGTTGTTTTCTTCTTATTACTAAAGTTCATACTTGAGAAGGAGCAAAGTAATGTAATGAAAATGTAAAAAGGGGGGAATTGGCAGAGTAACGAAGACCAGGATGGAGAAGATGGAGCCACTAAAGTCACCCTTTATTGCATGCATGGCGGTCCTGTGGTCCTCCAGCCGTTGGACTACAACTCCCATCATCCCTGGCCACTGGCTATGTTACCTAGTGCTGATGGGACTTGGAGTCCAACAACATCTGGAGGACCAGAGGTTCCTATCCCTGCTTTATTGTATACAGGAAAACGCATGTAAGAAAACAGCAAATATTTAAAAAGTACTCTAATTAGCAGAAAAGTTCAAGGAATCTGCCGCTTTTATACAGATCTTCCCTAGTAGTGTCTCGCACGGTGCATGCATACGATTTAGACAATTAAATGTGAATGTTTTTCATATTCCACAAGGTGCATTTCATGAAGGTTTTTCTTAAAATGCTGAAGATACATTAAGATAATTGCAATAGTCTAATTAGAGTTTCTCCTAAAAATGGCTTGTCTACTCATGCTTTAATAGATGAAAGATTTTAAAGGGGTTATGGCAAAACAGTTACAGTAATCAGAGAAGAAAAAGTGCTGAAGGTATCATGAAGCTTCATAATTAAACTGAAGCTTACAGCTCAATTAAATTTGAGCATCATTATGCATAAAACATCAGTAGGCATCATCAGGAGTCCAATAAAAGAGATGCTATCAATGTTAACAGCCAAAAGGTAAGGCATGATATAGATTGGACCAAGTCGTCGAAATAAAATGAAGGAAAAGTGTGAATAAATTTGAAGTCAATGGACAATCCTAACAGTCTCTAATAAGCCGATTAATATGTGTCTGACATTGCAGATCGACTCATCATATGACATTAACATGAGCCTTGGTTTATGCAAAACATAATAAATTAATTTTGGTGAAAAGTTAGGGATGATTTATTGAGCATGAGATAGAGAGAGAGAGAGAGATAGGCAGAAGACACCTTCAACTTTCATTGTAGCTTAACTTTCAGTTTTGTACAATAGTAAATAGCTCAATAGTTTTTATATTTGGGTTTGGACACATTGACCTTGATTTTTATTCTCAATTTCCCTCTCTGAAGCTTAACTCATTAGTTGGCTAATGTGGTCCTGTTTTTCAGTTTCGCTGTGTAACTCCTTTGTAAATATGTGGTGAGGACCAAATAAATACACTGTAATTGAATGGTCAAGGTGATTAAAATGAATTGTAAATATACATAATTATTCAATGTGGAATGCTCTCTCTTTCTCCTTGGTTGATGATTGTTTTGTATTAAAGTGGTATTCACAACATGCTTGCTTTATGCACCTCAGTGGAGAGAGACCTAAAATGTGTCAAGTTCTTATAAAATCTTCATGAAGAAATTACTGTGTGATTCATAGATTGTAAACGAGACATCATTGTGTTCTTTTTGTTTCATTGGATCCATTATGCAAGATTATGTCCTCATCATGAAAGTATTAAAAAGGTTCTTACCTCTGAACGGGGAAAGTTTAAAACTGCATTTTGATAACAAGTGCTGCTCTTTCTGTTTAATCACACAGCCATAAGGTAAAGGTAAAGGGACCCCTGATCATTAGGTCCAGTCATGACCGACTCTGGGGCTGCGGCACTCATCTTGCTTTATTGGCCGAGGGAGCTGGTGTACAGCTTCCGGGTCATGTGGCCAGCATGACTAAGCCACTTCTGGTGAACCAGAGCAGTGCACGGAAACACCATTTACCTTCCCGCCGGAGTGGTACCTATTTATCTACTTGCACTTTGATGTGCTTTCGAACTGCTAGGTTCGCAGGAGTAGGGATCGAGCAACGGGAGCTCACCCTGTTGTGGGGATTCGAACCACCGACTTTCTGATCGGCAAGTCCTAGACTCTGTGGTTTAACCCACAGCGCCACCCGTGTCCCTTCACACAGCCATACTAGGTATCAAATCTGGCATCTTAAGAATTGTTAACTGGGCCCCCAACTGCCAACATGAAAAATGGCGTTGAGGAAGAGGAGGCAGCGGCAATAGAAATTGCCATTAGACCATTTCAGGCACCACAGCCCTCACTCCCTTCTCAATGTAGCCTTCTAGAAATAATAACGGTTGGTCAGGATCAGACCTGAACAATATTAGGAGGAAAGTCATTGTGCTATAATAGAAAATATATGCTTGGGATTCTAACCAGTTCATTCCTCCCACCAACAAGTACAGAGAAGTTTCTGACTTTGTCATACTTTAAACTATTCCTATTTCTTGTACACATTAGTTAAGAACCAAACTATATGTAATCCCAGGAGACCATTTCCTATGTGTGGGGAAGCCAGTAGCAAAAAGACAGTTACGGAACCGAGAAATCACACAAAGCAAATGAAATACTGTGAAAATCCCTGAAACGAGAAGTAATAGACTAGAAATATTATCTTATAGAATGAAACTAAATAACAAAAATCAAAAAGTTTAAGGAATTTTTTTTGAAAAACCTAGAATTGAACAAAGCCTTAACAGGATGCCGGCTACAAACCTCGTTTCACTGAACTATTCAGTTTCCTCAGAAGGAAATAGAGAAATCATAAATCTTAAATGACCAAATTCAAAGAAAGGGGGTAAAACTCCCAAAAATTCTGAAGTATTATAATCCTAGCTCGACCTAGGTGAAGCAAAGCGCAGTAATAAAGGATTGAGGACTCAAAGGTACAGTTTCTAAAAGTGAGTTTACAAAAAAGGTTTGAAAACCTAAAAGGCAAGTTTTAGACACAGCCCAACTTAAAGAAAGCCAAGCACAGTAATAAGGAGTCGAGGAGTCGGCTGTGAAAACTCTAGTATTGCCTTTACAAAAAGGTTTAAAAAACCTAAATGGCACAAATTCACAAGATAAGCTGTTTTAGATTTTAAACAAACTCAAGAACAGGGCTGAAATGCTCCCATGGTCTAGATGTTACTGCTGATGTTAGACTGATACAGGGTATTTTCAATCACAGGTTTATATACTATAGGGTGATTTTTTTAAAAGGGACAGGCCATCTAGTTCAAACAATAGCTCCAGTTGAATAAAAGCAGAAGGCTGGAGATCAATCACCGAAGTTTGAATAAGGTGCATGGCTTCAGGTCTTTGGAAGGAAAAGGAAACGTTTATTAGACTAGCAACTGGGGCAGCAGGGCAATCCCATGGAGATGCTCTCCTGACAGTGGTGTTGCTCCTGTTTTCCTGGATGGTACATAGGACACAAGGTTGGGTCGGTGCTGGCATGCTGGCTTCTCCCAGTGTACCCCAGAAGCCCCAAACTCACCACAGCCTTCCCCCAGTGCTGTACCATCCAGGTAAGGGGCAGCAATTGCTCTGTCAGGAGGGAGGCTTGGTGGGACTGGCCTACCACCCCAGTATATAATTGGAACCTGCCTATTAAATGAATAACTTCAGGTATCACGTCTCCAATGGGCATGATTTTCCATAGTCTACAAAACATTCACGCACACGCACAATGAAATAGGTTTTTATTTTTCTTATTCTGATATGTACCGTATTTGTTGCTCTATAAGACTCACTTTTTCCCTCCTAAAAAGTAAGGGGAAATGTGTGTGTGTCTTATGGAGCAGGCTGCGCAGCTATCCCAGAAGCCAAAACAGCAAGAGGGATTGCTGCTTTCACTGCGCAGCGATCCCTCTTGCTGTTCTGGCTTCTGAGATTCAGAATATTTTTTTTCCTCCTCCAAAAACTAGGTGTGTCTTGTGGTCTGGTGCGTCTTATAGAGCGAAAAATACGTAATTGAGAGCAGAGCCAGCCCATCACATTTGGTGTGTCAGACACAAAAAATTGACAAAACTGGGGTAGAGAAGGTTTTAAAACTTGGGAGCTGCATTCCTGTCTCGGAACCTTCTGGGACCCAAATGCCAGCAGTAGGTTTTTAACATTGTGTTTTAAATGTTGATACCCACCCTGAGATTTTAGGGTGAAGGACAGGTAATACATTAAAATAACAATAATAATGTTAATAAGAACTAATGAATAAGCTGTAGTTTTCTGCTGAAATACTGTAACTTTTCATACCACAAATGTTCTGGTTTCATTGTTCCTCTATCACTGTAGCACAACAGCATTCCTCCAGATGGCAATAATGTGGTAACGTTGGGGAATCATCACAGCACAACTAATAAAGCAGAATGTTGTGTGGACAGCCCAGTATATATCCATCACTAATGCGCCATTGTGTCAATGACATGCTGCACAAGCTTGGAGGGGTGTGAATTGCCATTGGTGTTCAGTCTCGTAGCAGCAGCAAGCTCCAGAGAGCTGAAGGAAACAAGAAAATCTCTTTATCCTCACAAAAAGTGAACCTTGATGTCTGGATCACATGTGAGATTTTCCCATGGAAGAATTATGTTTAAATTTGACATGTTTATCTTAGCTTTCCCTTCTGCCATTAAAATGTACAGGATATTGAATCCTAGGAAGAATGTTACAATAATACCAAAAGGTCTCCCAAAGTCAACAAAAGCAAGGAAATCCATAAAGCCCATAATCTACCCATCCCTAGGTTTTCCTGCTGATGCTCTGATACCTCATGCTCTGAAGATCCTATAGTTTGCTGACTTTACTAAATATATATATATGAAGGTGCAGAGGGCCATATTTCACCCTCTCTCAGAAGGTGCTGTTAGCAAAGAGTGTGTGAGAGAGAGATGGGGGAAGAGGGGAGAATTTTATGACAAGGAAGTTATATAAAAACAAATGTCTTTTTGCATTAGTTTATACCTGAAAACATTACAATACATAGCAACTCCATGGGTTTGGAAAAAGTTAGATGGAACTTTTTGACAGGTAGGAGAACCTCTTAAAGAAATAGGAGTGCCTGATCACCTCATCTGTCTCCTGAGAAATCTCTATGTGGGATAAGAAGCTATAGTTAGAACTGGATATGGAACAACTGATTGGTTCAAAATTGGGAAAGGAGTACGGCTAGGCTGTATATTGTCTCCCTGCTTATTTAACTTATATGCAGAATTCATCATGCGAAAGGCTGGGCTGGATGAATCCTAAGCCAGAATTAAGATCGCCGGAAGAAATATCAACAACCTCAGATATGCAGATGACACAACCTTGATGGCAGAAAGTGAGGAGGAATTAAAGAACCTTTTAATGAGGGTGAAAGAGGAGCGCGCAAAATATGGTCTGAAGCTCGACATCAAAAAAACGAAGATCATGGCCACTGGGTCCATCACCTCCTGGCAAATAGAAGGGGAAGAAATGGAGGCAGTGAGAGATTTTACTTTCTTGGGCTCCATGATCACTGCAGATGGTGACAGCAGTCACGAAATTAAAAGATGCCTGCTCCTTGGGAGAAAGGCGATGGCAAACCTAGACAGCATCTTAAAAAGCAGAGACATCACCTTGCCAACAAAGGTCCGTATAGTTAAAGCCATGGTTTTCCCAGTAGTGATGTATGGAAGTGAAAGCTGGATCATAAAGAAGGCTGATCGCCGAAGAATTGATGCTTTTGAATTATGGTGCTGGAGGAGACTCTTGAGAGTCCCATGGACTGCAAGAAGATCAAACCTCTCCATTCTTAAGGAAATCAGCCCTGAGTGCTCACTGGAAGGACAGATTATGAAGCTGAGGCTCCAATACTTTGGCCACCTCATGAGAAGAGAAGACTCCCTGGAAAAGACCCTGATGTTGGGAAAGATTGAGGGCACAAGAAGAAGGGGACAACAGTGGATGAGATGGTTGGAGAGTGTTCTCGAAGCTACAAACATGAGTTTGACCAAACTGTGGGAGGCAGTGGAAGACAGGAGTGCCTGGCGTGCTCTGGTCCATGGGGTCACAGAGAGTCGGACACGACTAAACGACTAAACAACAACAACAGAACCTGTGACCTGTGCTGGTCTTTAACTCCCACCTACCTTCTGTCAGCCTGGCCAGTGTTTAGGGGTGAATTGGAGTTATAGTCAAACAACATCTAGAGGGCCACAGCTTCCCCATCCCTGTTTCTATATCCAGGATGAGGAACCTGTGGTCCTCTAGATGTTGTTAGACTACAGACCCAGGCAGCAGGGCCAGTGGAAGGATGGAGCTATAGTCCAGCAAGTTCTGGAGGTCCATAGGTTCCACATTTCCTGCTGTATATATTTTGTAGAGCTTAACTAGACAATCAGAAGCAACGAAGTGCAGTGCTGTGAACTCGTAGCTCACTGGTGCATTCCCTCCATGCCAAAGTATATCTTGAGGATCACACTGAAACACTGAAAAGTAAAGAGGCAAAGCAAGTCAGATTTGTGATTTATTGTTTGTTTTGCCCTGTCATTTCTGTCACTTTCCAATGATTTGGTGGTGTTTTTTTTTTTTAAAAAAGGAGCTCCTGCATAAGTAAACAAAAATATTTTTCATTCATAGCTATATAATGTTTCCTGAAGCATAAAGGAAACCTACTAATCTGCAATATTCATAAAGAAAAATCTACAATATTCAACAATACATATTATCTACATTGGGAGAAAATAAAGGGATATTTTTGCCTCCTTAAAAAATAATGATGATGATGACAAGCTAACAATGGCCACAGAAGTCACAAGTGTATTCCAAAAATTTCATGCTGTCATCATAAAAACCTGACTCTAGCAGAATCTGTCTGGAGTTGGACATAGCCTGAGTGACCTTAAATGCACATTCTGATCCCTGGTGATTGCACAAATCAAAATAATGTTTTTTGAAAAAATATAGAAAAAATATGTAAACTGCTTAAGTGACAGAAAAATACTCTCTGGAGGATATCATTCATTCAGGCTTTCATAACTGTCAGAGGCAATAGTTCTCTGAACTTGTCTTTTTGTTTGTGTTTAAGAGGAAACAGTGAATGTAACCAGTCACTTTAACATCCAGATTAATGAGGAAGCCAGACATCCCGCCCCCCGCAATCAAAATATGCCCTTTCCACAGTCGGTTTCCACCTCTTCAACAAGCAGCATAATTTACATGGCGGTAGGAAAGGTGGAACTTCTCTGAGCAGATTTTATGCCATGAAAATAAACACATTTACTCAGGAAGATGCCCTGTTGTTTTAAAACTCTTAGCAAACTCTCTCTCTCTCTCTCTCTCTCTGTGTGTGTGTGTGTGTGTGTGCTAACTTCACAATCCCACCCTTCCTGTAGCTGTTGTGGCTTGATTTGCAATAGCTAGTGGAGTATCCTGTACAAGTCACATTTGGATAACTCAAGATTCTTGTACCTAAAGGGGCCCAAGACTCTGCACAAATTAGGAATGATGGGACTGCAGCAGTATAATTCCCCTGGTTGTTCCTCTGACCTCCTTTGGCCATCCCTCTTTGTTGGAGAACAGAGGTAAATGAGTCCACAAAGCCTGCGCTGCACCCTCTAAACCAGCCTGCTGCCCTCAAGTATGCCAAAGGACTCTATCATGTTCCCAGTACTGAAGTTAGATTCAACTGCGAAACTAGCCTGCTTGTGTACATGAAATGAGAGACCGCCATCTTTGTCCTTTGCTTGGGCAGTCTTCCAGATTAAGTGGGTGTGTAAATTGTGGTTGTCTTCCCTTCCCTGAAGATTTCCAGTTCCTAGGACTGACACAAGCCAGACTTCCTCTTGTGTCCAAAGCTCTATGTTGTTGCTGTATGATGGTCCAACCCTATAATGTGACATAATGGGACTCCATTATGAGCATATGTCAGCATATGTCAAAATACTTGGCTGTGACCACATGACTAAAAATAACTTGATCAGATGGATAAGGGTCTTGGTAAGAAAGGCAGAACTGACTGCAGTATGGAGTAATATCTGTGCTGGAAAGCTATTATAGGAGAAGCCTGTTGTGTGAACCGATGAAAAGAGGACTCATGCACAAAGTTTTCCAAAGCAATCTTCTAGACTAATCCCAGTTTCTGAGGTAGTATTATAAAGACAGGTTGTAAATCTGCAGAATCTCTTCCTTCAGTGGAACATCCATTCCTCGAGACTGCTCAGCTTGTATTTATTAGTTTAAGCTTTCTTTAAAACACAAACAAAACAGTATTTCATCACATTTTATTTCTTCCAAAATGATGTTCTTAAAGTACATCTTGCAGATAGATTATCTGTCCCTCACAGCAAAGGCTCACAATGGGAGTCTAATAATTGCTCTTTTTCTAATTTCACTAAATGAGTTATAATTATTTTATGTCTGTTTTATGGTTACTGAATAGTATTAACCTAAGCTCTAATTATAATATAGCTTTCAGAGAAATGTATGGACACTGAATTGATGGACTGCCAGCTTATGTAGGAACATCACATAAAGCAGATATACAGCTAATAGTTTAAGGCGTAGCCTGTTAAAATTCAGGGGCACAACTCATTCATGAATAAGTAACAGGGTGTAAATTCATTGACTAGATTTTTATAGCACCCGTGATAGACAGGAACATGCGCTCATGATTACTACATGTAAAAACCAATGTACAGTTAAAGACAGAAATGACATTTGCTGATTTGATTGGAATTATTGATTGGAATTTGATAGCAGCATTAGTCAATAGCACAGCGATAATGACTAATATTATGTCTGCTGAGCTATTACAGGATGTATCATCCATGACTGCAGAAATATTATGAATATTACCTGCAGTGAGTCTCTCAAATGTTTATTGGAATATATACAGTTCATGTTTGAATGGCAGGCAGATATCAGTAGGTGAAGCTTTCCTCATCTCTATGCTGGGGGGAAAAAAATCACCTGCTGATTTCTGCCTGCCAAGCAGCTGTTATTTAGTTGCTTGCTAAATCTTTATACATTTTAATATATTTTTTTACCATAACTATTCAGCAGGTGACTGGAAGGAATAAACTGAACAAAAATTAACCAGAAATAGAAAAATAGCAGTAAAAATACAAATAAAAGCAGTCATGAGAAGTTTGGGCAACAAGATGGATTTGCCTAGCATCTGAAATATAAGAAAGAATGCGTCAGATCAATGTGCCTCAGGAGAGAGTTGATCTCGCATAAGTAGCCACCTTGTGAAGCCAAGGATGTGCAAAAAGTAGAAAGGGATCTCAGTTAACCGGTAGATTCATATGGGAGAAATTGATGTTTCACATACCCAGACCTCAGACTGTTTACAGCATTATAGACTAAAACCAGAAAAACATGGAAACCTGGGAAGATCTTTGCTTACTCATGAAACATCACCAGTCTGCCGTATTCTGGATCAGCTTATGTTTCCACAGGCAACAGCCTGTAGAACATTATGCAGTAATCAAGGCTGAATGTTACTAGAGCCTAGATCAGGTATAGGCAAACTCGGACCTCCAGATGTTTTGGGACTACAGGACCAGTGGTCAGGGATGATGGGAATTGTAGTCTCAAAACATCTGGAGGGCTGGGTTTGCCTATGCCTGGCCTAGATCACCAGTAAGGAACCTATGGCTCTTGAGATGTTGTTGGGCTTCAACTCCCAGCGGCCCCAGCCAGCAGAGCCAATGATCAAGGATGAGAGGCGGAGGAGTCCAACAACATCTGGAGGGTCACAGATTCTTCATCCCTGGCCTAGGGATGGAGATGCTCAATTGGATGCTCAATAAAGGGGTCATCTTGAAGCATGGCAGATGCTTCAAGATGACCTGTTCATCCTGAGTGTTCATCCTGATTTGTTTTCAGGGAGATCAGCTGTCACTGGCTATCTAGCAAAGGTTCATTCTGACCTGTTTGTGGGGAGGTAAGATAATGTTGTGTCAAAGCCAGTGCTATCCCACACTTACCAGTGCCTTTTCCCATTACCTTCCTTATTGCAAAATGCCTTGATCTTTGGGGGAAACAGTTTCATTGCAGAAGACCTCCCAAACAACTATAATTGCAGAACCTGAATTTACTGGTATGTGATTAAATCCCAGCCAAAAATAGTGACAGCTTGGAAGCGACCAAAGTCTCCATCCATACAAAGGTGGAAGCTCCAGGTTAATGAGAAATGTGGTTGGCTGGTTTGAAAAGTGGGCATTTCAAAGGTGAATACTGACAGGAGTTGTTTCTTTGCATGTTTTTTTTTAAATAGGAGCAGAAAAGCAAGCAGCTGATGTCCAGAAAATCAGGGATCACACTAAAATACTGTAACATCTGCTCATTACTTAAAAGCACACCAGGGAGATGTAATCTACAGCAAGAATTCCTCAGAAGGATTTGCAAATTGTATGCAAACAAACCCAACATAAATAGATAGCATAGGTTCCATTCTGTGATAAAATATGCAGCTAAATGGGGAGGGGGGTAGTTATAAGCACTTGATTGTAGAAGACAGCCCCAGTTTTAGAGTTAAAAGTGCTGCTTGAATTAGCTGCAGACTAAACAAATTAAATGTGCAAAGCACACCTGGCCCTTATCTGGTCAACTGCTAAACCTTGGAGCATGAGAAACTAAATAAAACCTATCAGCCATTTCCTGGGCAATGTCTTGAACTCTCCTGCGAGTTTATTTTTCAAGACTCAGTATCTGAGGCCTAATTACTTAAAGTACAGGCATTCATTCAAACCCAAAGGATGAAAATATAAATTGTTTACATGCTTTATCAAGGAACAAGATGATGCAGTTTTCTTATTTTTGTGGTTTGCCTTGCCTGTCTTCTGCCGCTGCACCTGGACAGAGATGTCAAGTGACAGTTCTCTGAAAAAAATATGGACAAGCCCGTGGCAAGGTAAGTTAATCATAAGTGATGCCAGAAGATCTGACTGCTATCTACTCTGAGCTGCCTGAATTCTTTAGCCTTTGGAAATTAGCAGACAGATCACACCCATTTTCAGTTTAGTGGCAATAGATCATGGTTCCTTCCTACAGGTGTATGCTGTTATTGGACTACAGAAAATATTTGCTTTACTAAAGGGCAGCTTAACCTTTGTTTAAATCTGAGGTGAGCTAAAGGTCACTGTAATTATTTGCTGCATTATTTGTGTCACATTTGAGTTACTAGTAAGGCTGTTGCACACGCATTTGCCCTTTATTAGACAGCTGCTTAAAAAAGAAAAGAAAAGCAAGCAACAATCCTCTTGGATTTTGCATTTGGCATATATTTGGGTGGAAGCAATCACTGTTGCAAAACAATTTTCAAGACTCTCTCGGACTGTGATTGACTGAAAGTGGCATGGGTCAAGGTTCCACTTTCCCAGAGGAAAGGAGAGAGATGGGCAATTTAACATGGCAGCTCCCTCTCCGTCAGCACTTCATCCCCCACCAGTTTTGTTTTTAATGGCTAGAAGCCAAGATACAGAAAAAAGGAAGGGCTCAGAATCTTATAGGACAGAATTGCAGGCATCCACAGCAACAAAAATGGGCTTCAATATAACATTTTAGCCCAGAGGAACAATGAGGGATGAAGTATGTAATGGAGACTGACCATTTTAAGAGATCCAGGACTTACACTTTAGCCAGATTTACACACGCTGCTAAACCATGGTTAATATTAACAATTAATGTTAACTATAGTTAATAAACCACACTTAAAGCTGAGGTGTCTGGCAGATGATCACTTAAACCTTGGTTTATCATGTCACAGAATAGTTAAAAGCACCAGCAAGAGCAGCTGATCCTTGAGAGTGGTTTGAATGTTTTGCCACTGTTGGCTTTGTAGCTTTTGTGTGGTGATGACCTCTTAACAATGGTTAAGAAGGATCTCTTAAGCCATAGTTAAGCTGCTGGGCTGACTGGGTTCACACATAACGCTAAAACATTGTTTAATATAGCTTAATAAACCATGGTTTCATGTTATGTGCGAAGCAATACAGTAAGTGATGATGATAACATAAAATGGGAGTTCTGCAATATGAATAGAGACTTGCTGGGTGGACACAGGGCTTGCGATCACAGCAATCCCTCTAAGTGTACCTATGCAACAGGTAAAGCACTTCTCTCAATGGGACTTCCCACTGTGCTTGGGCCAAATACAATGTTAAGGTAAAGTTAAAGGGACCCCTGACCATTAGGTCCAGTTGTGACCAACTCTGGGGTTGCGGTGCTCATCTCGCTTTATTGGCCGAGGGAGCCGGTGTACAGCTTCCGGGTCATGTGGCCAGCATGACTAAGCCACTTCTGGCGAACCAGAGCAGCACACGGAACGCCGTTTACCTTCCCACCAGAGCGGTACCTATTTATCTACTTGCACTTTGACGTGATTTCGAACTGCTAGGTTGGCAGAAGCAGGGACCGAGCAATGGGAGCTCACACCGTCGCGGGGATTCGAACCGCCAACCTTCCGATCGGCAAGCCCAAGGCTCAGTGGTTTAGAGCACAGCGTCACCCACCACAATCTTACCTGCCACCAAATTCAGTCTGACAGAAGTCACCATGAAGTTGTTACAGTAAGTTGCTGGGCGATTTGGAACAGCCCTGAACAGATGCCTGCTTGACAACAGTCATATTCACTGCCTGTGGAGCTAAAAATTACAGCAAGCTGCATCCCTAGCTGGTTTGGGGGTACCCCTGGTTATGGTGCAGGTCAAATAAATGCGCCCTGCTTCTCTCCTTCACTTAGATTCAGGTGGATGGCTAGGGCAGCTTGGAAGGGCCTTCGCACAAACACATGTGTGTGCAAAAGTACAGGCCTGGCTGAAAAGTTTAAAACCTGCTGCCACAACATGGGAGATGGATTTGAGAAAAGGGAAATTGAATTGGCCCCACCCCATAGCTTGACCAATCGTGTTTAGGAGTGTCTAGGAGCTAGGTGGAGTCAGCTTCCATTTTGACTTGGAATGTTGGTTTGGGGCTTCTCAGAAGTACGTAAAGGCAAGAAGTAGGTGGGGGGCGTGCCAGCCCACAATGGCACCCACCCAAGAAGTGCTGGAACTGCGCTAAACTGTGCTCTGGCCGGAAAAAAGCACTGGCTTTTGCCTGGCTGGAAGGGGTCATTGAACTCGGACAACTGCTGGATGGAGGATAGAGAGGGAAATGTTTGTGCAGAGACTAGCCTACCACACAAAAGCAAAATCTATGTTCATTGCTCCACCCACTTTTGCCTCTGGCCCCGCCCACTTCTCGAATGTGGCCTTTGGAAAGTGGCCCAGAAGGAAATATGGCCCTTGGGGTGTGACAAAGGCTCCCTCATCCCTGCAGAAAAGGGAGCCTTCCAAATGGAGTGAATAAACTCCACTGTCAGAGGAGGTCTGGCCGTGAATCTTGGGGTAGCAAGGAAGGACTTGCGCTGTGACCAGGTGAGAGCTGAACATGGTATTAATCGCCAGTGGAGAAGCCAGCCTTTCTGTTGCAGGTAGTATGGATGGCTGCATTTAGTACCTTCTCAGCTGGAGATAGCTATAATTTTCACAATAGAAAGCCTGCCTGCTGACAAGATCACCCTTTATTTTCATCGGTATTGATTTGTAGCACTGTTTCTGGTCGAATGCTTACCGCTTGAAAAACGTTAGATTGTGTAAATAAAGCTGCCACCTCCACCTTCAGATAATAGTAAGGGACTGAGTTAATGATAAGGGGGAGGAGGAAATAAAGGAGACCATGCCAGCATTAAATTCTAGTATTTATATGTCTGACAGATGCCATGTGAGCTCCCCACCTTGTAATATCCACGTGCCACTATAACCACTAATAGTACAAATTAAGGTATCATGCTGTTTAGTTCTAGGGCTCTGGGTGAAAGTATTGCTTCTATGCCATTTGTGTAGTACTGTGACTGTAGCTGTGACCTCATGGATAATGAACTGCTAATCTTATTTGGGACAGACCACTAGTAATTTGGCATGGATGCTGCTATTTTATTAGAACCGAGCAAACGTTTAACTACCTAGGATTCACCTAAAGTAGATCCATTTAGGTCATGCTGAGAGGAAAAAGGCCTAATTTAGTTGCAATGGATGCTGGACTGTGGAAGGCTTGCAGGGGAGGGAAAAAAACAAATATGCTAAAAGGCTTTCAGGAGATGGAATCTAATTTTGGATTTATACAGGACCAGCATGGGATGTGTGAAAGGTATACACTCCAGCTTACTGCTATGCAAAGATGTGGCTATTCCTGCTGATAAAAAGACGGTTTTGTGTTTTTTGTGTGAATCTGGAGAAATAGCCCTCAGTGCCATGGTAGAAGTTCTAATTCCACTATTGGTTATTTTTCATTTATAAACACTGAATTCTGAGGTTAAAATAGGAATAGTCACATATCAAACAGACTGCTGATGTTTATTCATCTGCACCTCACAATCTGAGATTGGTCCGCTGAGAATCTGATGTTGCTTCCGAGAATCTTGAAGACTCCTGACGCTCAATGAAAAGTTGAAGGACTTGCCATATTGATACTGCCACCTATATCTGCACATAGATATATTGATAGTCATGTTGATAGGACAAGAGACAACTCTGGCTAGCAGGGTTTTCTATTTAGTTATCTTGCTCAGCTATTTCCCCCTGCTGCTCAGTTGCTGGGGGAGATTACCAGATTGAGATAGCGCAAGACAGATACGTCCTTGTTGCCTCCTTCCTTCTTAGCATGACTTCAAGACTAGCCAACCTTGTCTTCCTACACTGTTGAATGCCAGGAAGGAGTCTTCGGAAATCATTACTATATTAAATAAGTAAATAATAAATCATTTCCAAAATGGCTTCTGGCCCAGGTTTGTAAGAGAAGAGAGGTTTCATTGCCCAGTTGCACAACCTGAACAGGAGATAGGGGGAGGGCCATTCTGGTTATTCTCTTGGGCCTCCCAGCAGCTTGTTCAACATCTAAATGTTGGAACCACTGGTTCATTTGGAGATTTCTGTGAGTAACCCCAGCTCTATCTCTCATTTCTGTCCTCTGATCCCCAGGAGGCAGTAGCAGTTATAAACCTCTGTTTGAGGGCAGCATTAGAACTAGATGGGGATGGACTTAAACTTAAGCTTAACCCAGATATTGCAGGTATGGTTGGTTTGCTGATCTTGACAATCTTGGGGTGCAAAGTTTGCTCTGGGTCTGATTGCAGCCCTCCTAAATCTGCAGGTATGTGACTTGGAGTTACTCCTGCAACTGCTTCTTTTTCTAGATGCTCAGGTGGGGCCACTGGCCAGGAATACCTTTTACCAGAGTCATTTGGCAAGCTAGCCTGGAGAAATCTCACTGGACCCCAGTCATTCATGCCTAATTTTCATCTCCATGGATTTTGCCTCTCTTATGATAAATTGTTGTTTCCATTGTTTTTGTGACTGCTTAGTTTTTTTATCGTATTAATTGTGGAATGTCTTCCATACACTCAGTGTGGAAATACAGTATTATAAATAATGTAATAAATTAAAAATACCACTGAAAAGCCTTAATGAAAAATTAAAAAAATAACCAAGCTTCTGTTTGTTCTGACTGCGCAACTTCAAAAAAGAGCTGATGTTCACATTTTGGTGAAAATTCAGAGATGGAGCATTTTAAGCCCCTCTGGTGTTCAAAACTGGCACATAAATGGTACATGTTGGTCCTTCTACAATTGTGAACATCTGCTTTGATGTACCTGTTTTGCAAAATGAGCAGTTTCATTTTAAACACATAAAAGAACAAGGGGAAAAAATTATGTTCATGTGTGGGAGTCACGATCATGAATTTTCTTGACATGTTGAAGAAGAAGAGATATTTAGATTTATATGACTAGGATGTTAACTTGAGTAATCCTGCTGTTAATTGGTCTTGCCTTTGCCTTAATGTGTTCCTTTAAACAACATCCATGTGAAAGTCATGAAAGATAAGATAAAAGACTGCTGCAGCTTCTATCAGGGATTGTATTACCCAGACCTCCACAGGTCAGGAGAGAGAATTACTCTTTGGAGACACTGATGGGAGCAGAGCAAAGCTAGAGAGACATTTCTAAAAGACCTCACGGCAGGAGATAATGACTTACCACTGTTGGGTTTCTATTGACATTGATCCTTTGTGTGGAAGTTCAGAATGGCAGTGCACAGTAACTCCTTCACATGTGCACATAATGTGGGATGCGAAAAGTTTTTTTTTTTTTTTTTAATTCAACCTACTTTTTGAAACGATGGCTTGTTTTCGGTTTTAAAAGGTAGTCCGCTAACATGAATGAAAAATTGGATCAGAGCTTAACAGTGAAAGATGGAGGATGGAAATAATAACCATCATAATCAGGAGATGCAGAAGTTTTGATGTGACTTGTAAACATTTAAAAATCCAATGCCAAATACTATTTTAAAAACTGATACAGTATGGATGAAAATGTGGTCAAGCTATAGAACCAATCTGTCCACCACAGGACTCCTTCAGATGATCATTTTACTGAAAATTGGGCATTCAGGGTGTTGAAAGCTAGCAATACCTAGAGCAGGCATAGGCAAGCTCGGCCCTCCAGATGTTTTGGGACTACAATTCCCATCATCCCTGACCCTTGGTCCTGTCAGCTAGGGATCATGGGAGTTGTAGTCCCAAAACATCTGGAGGGCCGAGTTTGCCTATGCCTGACCTAGAGGGCAGCAGGTTGGGCGGAAGCTGATCTACACTGTTAATGGGCTGACAAATACAGAGACGGTAGTGACACAGGGCTGTAGCTCAGTGGTGGGGCATCTGCTTTGCTTGCAGGTTCAATCCCCGGCATCTCCAGTTAGGGCCGAGAGAGATACCTGCCTCAGATCCTGGAGAGTCAGTATTTGTCACTGCAGTCAGTTTTGAGCCGATGGCCTGACTTGGTATGAAGCAGCTTGCTATGAATTTCAGAGGAGAATTTCAACATGACACTGTCATTTTCAGCTGCAGCCCCACCTTCACTTCTTCTTCTTCTTCTTCTTCTTCTTCTTCTTCTTCTTCTTCTTCTTCTTCTTCTTCTGTGATTACTTGTAGCCGAGTAAGTTTGTCTTCCATAAACATGGTTTTAACAATGAGTCCGTAAGTGACTGTGGAGGCCAGTTCTGGACCCACACATCCTTCCACAGTGGGGACATTGGTTCCCAGGCGGGAGTTGATCACGGTGTGGATCTGCCAAGGGTGCCTTCCTCTTAGCGCGTTTCTCCCTTGCGTCCTGAGTTCGTGTCTTCAAAGCCCATGACACCTTTGGTAAAGGCTGTTCTCCAGTTGGAGCGCTCACAGGCCAGTGTTTCCCAATTGTTGGTGTTTACCTTCACTTCTACCTCAAGGTCACCCATGAGTCTGACAATGCTAGTGAACTGCCAGTCTGTGTAGGCCATATTGAGCTTGATGTGGGTCAATGCTCTGGATGTGAATCAGTGCTCTGGCTCTGTATAAGGCATCTCCCTTTGTTCCTTACGTTCTTAAGAGAGTTGGGGGAAGCCATTTCTGACCAGGCTTTAAGTTGTATGACATCTGTATATTTTTGGCATCCCCCAAAAGCTGTAATCCTCTTGACTGTATTGTGTCCCCCCACACTCACACACCTGTGCACTGTATATATATCACCTGTGCACTGTGCATTCCTTTATTTTGTTTGTAAACTGTGTTGAATCTTTGGCTGTGAAGGCTGAAAATAAATAAAAGTCCCTGTCTGTCAAAAGCAGTGAGAATAAAAACATTTTGAAGCCTGACAATCATCAACTGAAATGAATTAAAGATAAAACTTTTTAATTGTTGCAATTAAAACAATTTTAATTGTTGCAATTAAAACAATTTTAATTGTTGCCTTTCCCCTCTCTGAATGTTTTCTTTAAATGAAAATTCTTGGCTGGCTATATTAACCTCGTATAGTCCAGTTGTCCTTCAAGTGCATCATTTCTTGAAAAGCATTTTTAAAAAATTTATGCAAGGCATAGCATTTGAGCAGCTTTCTTAAATCCCAGTAGAACATATGATTCAGGAGAAGTGATGGATGCTGTCCTTAGATGCGGCTACAGTGCAAGTCCTACTCATTTAAGGACGACTTTCACTGGAGATCGGCTTGGTGAATTGCGTTGCGTTCTTTCCAGCTGTATGCTATTTCAAATTCAGTCCCATTATGTAAACAAGATCTCATGTTCTGATAGGGTAAAGTTCTGCTACATCTCTCTCCAGGGAACCATTTATGCTCATTACAAGCTTGATTCCCACCCCCCGACACTGGATAGGACATTCCAATCTCACCGCCCCCTACTTACTGGTACAGAGGAACTCCGGCTTGGTCCATCACACTGGTTGAGGCTGTAAATAATAGTTACGTTCCTTGCCTTCTATTATTAATTACGTTATACAAAGACCATTCTGTTGGGAGCAGTGCCGAAGCAATCGTAAATGAAATAGAGCGACTGTAATGAAGTGGCCCGGGCAGACTTCTCCAGTTTGCATGATAAACATTCCCTTTCTGTCTCTGAGATGGGACCAAGGTAAACAGAAACAAGGATTAACGTACAGTATGCTACTTTACCACACACACACACACACACACACACACACAGAGAGAGAGAGAGAGAGTTCTCAAGCGCAGTGAGAATAACCAAAATACCACCACCCGTGTTTACAGTGGGCAAAGTCAATTTATTAGAGCGCTTCATTATGTAGCAGAATCGCTGCCAATGGTAGTCTCCCAGTCAAAATAAACAGGCATAAAGTGTTCCACATATACAATTTGTGGCGAACAGTTACTTTGCTATTTATTTAATAATTGACCATAAATGGAGTCAAAGTGCAAAAGGGAGGGGGAGGGGGAACCTTGAAAAAACCAGCACACTAAGGGCTTTTTGAAAGATTGATAAATAATGTGGAATCTCAATTAGGCTTTAGAAGGAATGCAGATATTAAAAATTTGGTCAAGAATCTAATTAGCTGGAGGTAATTAAACAGTCTCACACGGGGTCATTAATCTTTTCCACAGACCTTTGATGTTTTGCACACTGTCTTCTAGTCATTAATAAAATTCATAACACTCCTCTTTGTGGTGTTTTATCATCCTGTTTTTCTCTGTAAGAGCATAGAGCAAGTGTCATTGTATCACGAGGGCCTTACTTTAGTTAATTTCTTTCTTTCCCCCCTGCTTCTTCAACTTAACCCTTTCTTAAACAAAAAGAAAATCAATCTAGGCCACAAGTTGAAAAGAGATGCCTCTGATCTATATACTGAAGCACAGTATGCGTGTCTCATTTCCAAGATGCAGAATATAGGAGGTCCCAAGAATCTGCAAACTGTAGATTTTGATTTATGCTTTATTTTATAACCAAGTCCCTATTTTTTATTTTTTTTTAAATTCAGTCCCTTAACAAAACATTAAGGGGGGTGGTAATTTCTTTGATTTTAGGCTATAACAAGGATCTTGTTTGGGTAAAAATATAAGCTGATCTGCAGCCTTCACTTAAAGTACAGGAGAGTTAAAAGTATAATTACATCTGGAAGGCAAAGCTCAGCCAATTAGGGAAAAACTAAAAATACTGACTTTGACCAAGTTCTTTGCACAAGATGCAGTTACGTTCTGTGGAAGAGTCGTACATTATTTCAATATATTTTACATACAAGTGGTATCCCTAATGCAACTTGCTGGATTTGCACTTACCTGCCACTGAAGTAGCTGCACCACACTGGTTGCCGTTCAAATCCTTGAACATTCCCTCTCCAAATTGGCTCAGTTCATTGTACAATGTTGCTTTACTTTCTCTATTTTAGGGGGGTGCAGGTGTTATAACCCCTTAGAAAGAAGAGCTGGTTTGTTTGCCCAATGTAGCTCTAACCTGCAATTGTTTAACTTTGTTTCTTATGTGATACAAGTAGCTCATTAATTAAAGCCTGTTGAGTCCCCATGCAAAAAGAGTAATGCCACTTAACATGTATATTGTATAGTTGTTTTCATCTTCAAAGCACTTTCCAGTTATTAATTAAAGGTCTGAGTGTGGCTTTTAAGCCACAGCTCATATGCGGGGCGGGGGTTGAAGGCTGCAATAGAAACTCCCAAGGGGAAAATAGTGACTGACTCATTCAGAATCCTCCTGCAAGGAGCAATTCAGTCCGTTGAAGCAACTTAGCTGCTATTTTAGAGGTTTTAAAAAATGCAAAGATGGGGATTCTCCAACTTTGTAACAGATCAGATCAACAGTAAATTTGTTCAGCTCGGTTCAAGAATAGGTGAGACAGAACAAAGGCATTAATTATGATTATTGTGAGTGAAGACACACATAATATATAAAGAAGCCTTTCAGCACTTTCTTCTGGCATACTGAACCAGAGGTTGTGTTTGCCATCTGAGGCTGTTCTCAATGTGCCACATCAGCACAACAGGCCTTTTTTAGTGGTGGCTCCACAACTGTGGAATGTTCTTTCCACCCAGTTGTACCTGACCTATCTTTACCATTTTTTAGGCCCCAGGCAAATTATTCTTTTCCTCAAGGCTTGTGACCTCTTTCTTGCTTGTGTTTTAGTGGAGTGAGAGATGCATTAGCTGTCTGCAGACAGCTTTCCGGGTCATGTGGCCAGCATGACTAAACTGCTTCCGGCGCAACGGAACACTGTGATGGAAGCCAGAGTGCACGGAAACGCTGTTTACCTTTCCACTGCAGTGGTACCTATTTATCTACTTGCACTGGTGTGCCTTCGATCTGCTAGGTTGGCAGAAGCTGGGACAGAGCAACAGGAGCTCACCACTATTGCACGGATTCAAACTGCTGACCTTCCGATTGGCAAGCCCAAGAGGCTCAGTGGTTTAGACCACCGCGCCACCCACATCCCTATATTTTATGAGTGGGGTGGGGTTAAATATTCGTTTTATTCTGATTTTTGTACTTGGGTTTAATGCTTGTTTCACTTTGTAAGTCACTTGGTGTCAGTTTTAACAAATGACAAAATAATATACTAATGAACTGAGTGCTGTTTTTTTGGGCGGGTACTGAATTTAGCATACTGGTTTGAACCAGCCAGCCAGTCTTTTGCCTGTGCATCTGTGGGCCATTTTAAATGGAAGCACCAGGTGGTTCACGCAACATGGTAAGGCAAACTATGGCTTACCATGCAGGTGTTAATGTGCAGACTCCCAGAGAGGAGCTGACAGCCATTTTGCTTTTCCTTGGACTTTTCCACACCTGCACCACCCTGAGCCATGTCAAGATTTGGCTTAGCATGTCATCTGAACCTGGTTCCACTTTTTCCTTGCTAACCACAAGCTGTGGCTTAACTTAGTGTGGCACAGGAGTAACAAAGACCCAGGAGCAAAGTAGATGTGAGCTCCAGAAACCTGAATATTTGAGGCACACTGGTAAACTATGATTTGGTTTACCATGTCAAGGAAACCAGGCCACTATGGTGAACTAAAAAGCCCTCTCAGGACAATTTCTCTATCAGGTGTATAAGCCTTTATTAAAACAAAAAAGAATATTATCTGCTAATTTTCTAATTTTGACTTTTGCATATGCAGTTTTAGGATGCCGGACATCTTCGTATCCAGAAGCTTCTTTCTAAAAGCTGAGAAGTCAAATCTTTTTGGCTTCAGTGTCATCTCAGGATTTCCTGCTTCACTGTAAAGGTAACCAACAAGTAGCTGCACACAGAGAAACATACAATGCTGCAACCATTATAGCATTTCCTGCCCAATGTTCCCATCAGAAAGAGCTAATAACTCTCTCTCTCTCCCCTGTCCCTGAACAAAAGTAAAAGTCAGACTGAAAGTTATGTTTGCACGACAATTTCCTTAGTAAATGTAGTTATAAAAAGTGGACTAAAGAGGGCAGGAGATACTCTTTGGAGAAAAAAAAGTGCAAGTGGCTGCATAGTCAGACTGGATGAGGAAACAATAATATACATTGCAATATATGATAAAGTGATTTATTTTCAATAAAAATCTGTAAAACTGCTTTAGTTACTTTGACATCTTGATTAACTGAGTTTCAAAGATATCTGTATGTGTTGAACCTTCTTCATGCTGATTGTTTCTAATACTTTATTGCATCTGGTATTGAATATGTATGCATTTTAAAAAAAACAAATACGAAAGCATCTGCCCTACTGTAGTTTTACTGGATTTGTCAGGGACAAAGTAGATTAATTTTAGGCCTCAGCCAGGCAACATTTCTGTGACAGTAAATGAAATCCAGGGTCCTTCACTGTTCATTTCCCACCCACTATCTTATTCTTTAGGCATTATTAGATGGTGATATGGTCAGGAAGAAAAATCCATTTCCTCCAATATCATTGAATTCCTTAAAAACAAAAACAAAAACAAAACAAAAAAAACCTACCAACACCACCACCCTAGAAAGTTTCTATATGTGTCATTTGGTGGATGGGGGGGGGAGAGAGGGAATGAAGTTTACCTTGAATTATTATAGAATCTACTCCTTTTCAGATCCTGTAAGAAGAATAAAAAATTGTGTAGGTTTGCATTTGTATCCTGGGGAGTTCTGTAATAACATCTACGTGACTTTTAACAGCTTTGTCCATCAGTAATATATCCAGTACAGTGGTACCTCCGGTTGCGGACAGGATCTGTTCCAGTCGGATCCCGAGGTTTTCACAACCAGAGGTGCCTGTTTTGCACATGCACGCAGTGCACTAGAGTGCTTCTGTGCATGTGCGCGGCACGGTAGAACGCTTCTGTGCATGCATGCATGACGAAACCTGGAAAAATACTTCCGGGTTTGCCGCGAGTGTATCCCGAAGGATACGTAAGTAGAGGTACCACTGTATCTACAAATATGGGTTCCTTTTTCCATCATCTTTCCATTTGTTATTCTAGTGTGTCTCATAAGCCTTTCACACAGCACTAATTAAACGCCATCTTGAAACTATACCACCAGAGCACTAACTGCGTTTCTGCAAAATGGAATCCTCATAACAGAGGGTCCTGGTTGTGCGCGGGACCCAAGAACTCACCTGACAGGGTTAAAATGGGGGGGAGGAGCAAGAAGTCCTGGCCACTTCCCTGGGATCACGCCAGGCAATTTTAGCCAATAGCCAGTGGGTGGCGTGATCCCAGGGGCTTTAAAAATGGCAGCGTGATGCAAGCAGGGGCACTTGCTTCACACGGCTGAACACCCGCCCACCCTCCCTAGTTTAGGTAGAGTCGCTTGGCCTTGCTTTTGTTTCGGTTGCCTGTTTTGGAACAGGGGCTGGGTAGGAATTTTTCCATTTGGCAGATTGACCTTAGCCATTTGGTTTTCACCTACCCCTTAGCAAATTGTCTCAACTTGTAAGGTGGTGGTTAGGCATTGGCTCAGTTGGATTGTGGGGAAGGGGAGATAAGGCCATCACCTGCCCCTCCAGGAGCTGGGTATTCCATTAAAGGAATCTGGGAGTCCTGGATCTTGTCTGAAGTCCACTTGAGGGGCTAGGTCCATGCCAGGATCACAGGAACCCCCAGGGTGACCTTAGGTTGGTACCCTCATCGACCTAGCTCCCTCGTTTGGTTTACCCCATTGGACTGCCACCCAGAGAGGTGGAGTCAGTTATAGTGGGAAGTCAATGCCTAAGCCAATATTGCTCATGTGATTGTATTTCAATAAAGCTGTGGCCAAAATTTGTTCCAAAACTTAAACTAATATAAGTGTCCGTGTGTATTTATTTTGGGGGTGGGTCTTGGGGCCTTGAGAAACAAATGGTTCTGACCAGCCAGATACATTTCTCACCGCACCATCCTTTCCCCCAAGAAATCCAGGGCCACATTAATTAGCTTATCCTTCTTATGAAGAACCGTGAAATAATTATGAACGATTATCAGAGCTCTGCTCCTGTGAAGAACAGTTTTCTTTTCTTTTTTAAAGAAATGGGGCTTCAGTAGCTCTGGCTGCTGCCATCAGCACATGCCTTGGTCACGTCAAGGTTGTACTTCCACAATGCACTCTGTATGGTGCTGCCTTTGAACACTGTATGGAAACTTCTATGGTGTAATGCCATAGTGGTGTAGTAGTTAAGAGTTAAGAACGGTAGTCTCGTAATCTGGGGAACTGGGTTCGCGTCTCTGCTCCACATGCAGCTGCTGGGTGACCTTGGGCCAGTCACACTTCTCTGAAGTCTCTCAGCCCCACTCACCTCACAGAGTGTTTGTTGTTGGGGAGGAAGGGAAAGGAGGATGTTAGCCGCTTTGAGAATCCTTCAGGTAGTGATAAAGTGGGATATCAAATCCAAACTCTTCTTCTTCTTCTAATACACAACTATAATGGAGCAGGCTGTGTGCACAGCACATAAGACCCATTTTGCACCAATTTTCCTGGCTCCCCACTGGTTTCTGGGCACAATTCAAAAAGTTGGTTCTGAGCTTTTATGCTGTAAATTTTCTGATATCAGAATATGTTAGGAACCATGTTTTGCTATATCAGGAGTGGGAGACCGCCCCCCCCCAGATTGGGGGTTATATTCCCATCTCGGTAATCTTCTAGTAGTGGGCAGGACCAGAAACAAAAGTAACAAATGTAATATTTACCATTGTGCAGTAAACAATTTTGTATACCTGTTTTCATACCCCTTTTTCTCTATGCTCCAGCTAGGGAAGCAAGATAGATTAACAGAGTTCAAGGGCACATTCCAGTCAGGCCAAAAAACTCAAGGAAAGTATGAAGCAGCAATGGTGAATGGTGTGGCCCAGGAAGAACAGATGTGGTTGAGGAGGGTGTATGGCATTGGGAGAGTCCCGCGGGTCAAATAGTGAGGCCTTGAAGGCCATATTTGGCCCCTGGGCATAAGGTTTCCCACCCCTGTGTGTTCATGCAAGTTATTTTGGAAAGCCCTGCTTTGCATATCCTAGCTCCTCCCCCCCCCCACAAAAACACTGCTCAAGAATGAAGTACTAAGACCTTTCTGAGCCATTTAAAGATGGAGGAACCAAATACCTTCCTTCTTCTGTGGCATTTTAGTAAACCAAATCTTCTACAAACTCATACAGCTAAATGAATTTCACCCCTTTGATAACTTCCATAGAACCTGCAAAAATTAAAACATACCATGAAGGCAACTGCTAATGAAAAGTGATGGTTGAGGCTGCACTGCTTCAGATGCTGTGGAAACAGCAAGCCAAAATATATTTGAGATATTCCAAATCAAAGTGGAATAATAATAATAAATGTATTTGATCTCAAACAATATGTATGTGTGAAAGAGAGAGAGAGAGAAAGAGAAAGAGAGAGAGAGAGAGAGAGAGAGAGAGAGAGAGAGGTTGCTAATGACTTGTGAGCATCTCTTCAATATTAAAGAACTTTGTGACAACTTTGAGTGCTTCACAACAACCTTTTCTGTGACTGATTCTTTTCAAGACTGCAGCTCTGCCCATTGCCTTTTCTTTGAAGCAAGTCCCATAATGACTGTGTGAAAGATGGTGGAATCAGAGCCTGGAATCATTTTAAAAAGAAAGAAAGGGAAAAAAAGAACTTGGATATTAAATATATTTATTAGTTTTGGGGATGACCCCATGAGCGCGTATCTTTGACCTTGCTAACAGTTTGTGAAATATCAAGGCTATTTCCTCTTTGGAGGCAGTGAGAGATTTTACCTTCTTGGGCTCCATGATCACTGCAGATGGTGACAGCAGCCGCAAAATTAAAAGATGCCTGCTTCTTGGGAGAAAAGCAATGACAAACCTAGACAGCATCTTAAAAAGCAGAGACATCACCTTGCCGACAAAGGTCCATATAGTTAAAGCTATGGTTTTCCCAGTAGTGATGTATGGAAATGAGAGCTGGATCATAAAGAAGGCTGATCGCCGAAGAATTGATGCTTTTGAATTATGGCGCTGGAGGAGACTCTTGAGAGTCCCATGGACTGCAAGAAGATCAAACCTACCCGTTCTGAAGGAAATCAGCCCTGAGTGTTCACTGGAAGGACAAATCCTGAAACTGAGGCTCCAATACTTTGGCCACCTCAGGAGAAGAGAAGACTCCCTGGAAAAAACCCTGATGTTGGGAAAGATGGAGGGCACAAGGAGAAGGGGACCACAGAGGACAAGATTGTTGGACAGTGTTCTCGAAGCTATGAACATGTGTTTGACCAAGCTGTGGGAGGCAGTGGAAGACAGGAGTGCCTGGCGTGCTCTGGTCCATGGGGTCACGAAGAGTCAGACATGACTAAACAACAACAACAATTTCCTCTTCATTTTTACAATGTGCTGAACAGGGGCAGGAGAGGCAGGAGGGAGGAAAATACTTCTCTGAACCAGTTGCTCTTCAATTGAAGTCTTTCTTGGGCAACAGGTAAGTGCATGGGTGAAAATTGACTGCTTATTGATAACTGAGGCCCCAGTTATCTTTAATCTGACTGGGTTGGGAGCCAGATTGACATGGAACGGGCACTTGGGCCGGGCGGGAATACAGGAGGTGTGCATGGCATTGTTATTAAAGGAAACTATAGCATGGTGTGGTCTCTTGTCAGTGCACTGGGGGCTCCTCTGAATTCCTATTGAGCCCTGTGCTGATCCCTGCCCAGGTGAGTATGGACCCTTCATTCATGTTATTCCTGCATTCACATTATTCAGTGAATATTGTGGCTTTTGTCAACCTTACACAAAAGCCTTGCTTTCCTAGCCTAAAGTGCTCTAAAGCCAAAGGGGAGCCTGTGGCCATCTAGATGTTGCTGGATTCCACCTCTCATCAGCCCTAGCCAGTATAGCCCATGTTTTGGGATGATGGGAGTTGGAGTCCAACAAGTTCATGGGAAGGGTGTTTCCACCTGCTCCACCTTTTGCCCTCGGAAGTCTTATAAGAAGCTGCTGCAAGAAAGAGACTATGAGTCACATCTTGGGATGGGTGTTTCTAGGACTAAGGTGAAACTGTGAAGCTCCCTTGTTATCTTTGTTATAGGGTGCTGCATGCTATTGAGGCAATCTTGTTACCGTATATTTATAGTATCAAAATGTGGAGGTTTCTTTAGTACGTTATTATATTTTTGTTTTTGCTATGTTATTATGAAATAGTTACTCTGTTATTATTTTGCTGATATTAAGAAATTGTTCTTGTTTGTTTGAAACACACCCCAGTTTCTTTGTTGCAAGTCGCTTTGAACATGAGTGTATGGAAAAGTCTCATAAAAATAAAATCAATGAATGAATGAACTTCTGAAGAGCCACAGGCTTCCCATCCATGCCCACTGCATCCGTGTGTGACAGCCATCTAATAAGTTGACTGCCTACTTTAATGGCAATAACTACTCTGTCGCCCACCAGAAACCCATTCAGAGCTGCAACTCTGCATTTCTTCTTTGGCATCCCTTTGCTATGAAAGTACTGTTCCTTTGTTGCTCATAGCCCAATCCGAAGAGATTGTGGCTATGTGGTAGCATAATTGAGAGCATCAGAGAGTGCCAGTACCCAGTCCCAGCGCTTCCCCACCTTCTCATCTTTCTCCCAGTAAGCAGCATAGCTGTCAACTTTTCCCTTTTCCTTCGAGGAATCTTATTCGGAATAAGGGAATTTCCCTTTAAAAAAGGGAAATGTTGACAGCTATGGTAAGCAGAAGCCATACCACTGTGGGAAACTAGCAATGTGGCTCCATCCCATCAAGTGAGCCGCTTCTCCATGAACAGGACTCTGTTAAACATCTCACCTAGCTGTCATAACCCAGCTAACATCTCACCTAGCTGTCATAACCCATAACCCATAAGACCAGAGCTGGCCCTGCCATTAGGTGGAATGAGGTGACTGCCTCAGATGACAGATTTTGAGTATCAGCAGTGAGTTGTGGAGGACAAAGGTTTGTGAGCCACATATCCCACTCTGGACTGCCTAAACCCAACATCAGGTGTAGCAGAAGATGTCACCTTGTCGAAGAGTCAATTACCAGACTACTCAGCTTCTGAACATAGGAGAGGGTCTTCCCCTTCACTTCAAGCAGCAAATCGTTTTGGACAAACCCCAGCCAAGATACAGGGAACCAATTCATAAGATTCCAAACGGATTTCTCCCATGATGTCAGGATGTACAGAACCTCTGAGTTCTGTTCCAGTTTGGTTGGTTACCTCGGATACTGGAACTGCTTTAATTTCATGTGTTGTGAGGCCTCCAGTGTAGTTATCGCCCATATAGGCACCCTGTAGGCATTGTGGCCTGAATTCCTTGAACGACAACCAAATGTATGACTATGGTATCAGACTGCAACCACGGTTATTCTGGCACAGGTTACCAGGTTACCAGTGGACGGAATTTCAAAACAGCTGCAGAACACCTGGGCTAAATGTCCTACTGTGTCAGATGACAGCCTTGGGAAAGAGATAGGAGTGAAAGCCCCGATCTGCTCAAGTGCTTCCTAACTTTTCTGCAGAAGTTTAAAGACTGAAAATATACTGCTTAAATTAAAGGAAGAAATCATATTCTCAGGACGCCAGTTGCTTTGCCAGATTCCAGGTTCTTCTTCAATTTAGCAACCCTGAAGATCCATTTGCCTTTTACTAATTTACTAGCTAGCTTTCTAATAAGTGAAATTGTATGTAAATGGATGCTATTTTGGGAGAATTTACTATGACATTTATAGTTAATCACTGTCTTAGGAAGTTTGGATTTGACTTTCCACTATTTTTTAATTTTCGTGCATTAATCAGGAATTTTAACTAGCAGCTAAAGTTTCTGGTTTCATATCAGCAGGAAGCAATTGAAGCATAAGTGGTGTTTAGAAAACATAAAGATATGTGATATTTAATTTAATGCATGTTTACCAAGGAGATTGAATTAAGCCGATACAGTGCCAGCTTCTATAAGTCCAGGAACAAGGTCCTGTTGCATAGGGATATCTGTTGGCTATGGCAGATGGAGTTCAATAATTGCACGAAATGTTTTCCTTGGCATTTCTGATAATGGGCAGTCTCCTCTGAATGCCACAGATGACCTACTGATGGAACGTTCATTCTGATTTGCTTGTAGAAAGCTTATGCAAGCCATGCTAGTAGGGGCTGATGGGAGATAGAGTCCAACAACATCTAAAGCATCATAGGTTATCCACCCCTGCTCTCCATATTTTTGATTACAGGTAGGTAGCCGTGTTGGTCTGCCATAGTTGAAACAAAATAATAATAAAAAATCCTTCCAGTAACACCTTAGAGACCAACTAAGTTTATTATTGGTATGAGCTTTCGTGTGCATGCACACTTCTTCAGATACACTGAAACAGAAGTCCCCAGACCCTTATATATAGTGAGAGGGTGGGGAGGGGTATTACTCAGAAGGGTGTTAGGAATGGGTGATTGGCTGATAGGTGTGGTAAACCTGTTGACAACTGTTAACGACTGCAATTGGTCTTACAGGAAAAAGCAAGGGGTGAGATGGCTAAAAATAGCTTTTTCATGCATAATGAGATAAGAATCCAATGTCTCTATTCAGACCAGGTCTCTCCATGGTTTTAGGTTTGGTAATAAGTTGCAATTCAGCAACTTCTCTTTCCAGACTTTGAAAGACAAAGTCTGATAGAGAGGCCTGAGAGTCTACATCCCTGTTTTAACAGTTCAATCTGCAAACTCTCTATAGACCACAATAGTTGGGTTTAAGCTGGTTTGGTCTATTTGATGCACACTCCAGCCTGCCAACCTTCCATTACCTCAGCGTAACTCCAAGGGCAATGATGGCCACACTCACGCCCTACATTTAAAGCACTATGGTGCCACTTTAAGCAGCCATGGCTTCCCCCAAAGAATTCTGGGAAGTGGTTCATAAGGGTGCTGAGAGTTGTTAGGAGGGCTCGTATTCCATTCCCAGAGCCACAACTCCCAGAGTTCCCCATGCAGAGCACATTGGTTCTGAGAATTGTAGCTCTGGACAGGGAACAGACGTCTCCTAACAACTCTCAGCAGCCTTGACAAACTGCAGCTCCCAGAATCCTTTGAGGGAAGCCATGGCTGTTAAAAATGGTGTGCTTTAAATGCATGGTGTGGATGTGGCCAATATGCATACCCAGTTTTAAGGTGTTGAGTCGAACAGCGATGAGAAAATGGGATTAGCAGGACAAGCTGCTATCAGCAGCCCACCAGGTTTGCAAGCTCTCCAAGTCAGGACTCATTTTCTTTATTGACAACAGAAAGTAGATACCTTTAGATAAACCCAGGAGCTAATGAATAAATAATAAGGCTTAATGAATAATTTAATCCCAGTACTAGAATGCCTCTCTCTCCCTTTTTTAAAATATATATATATATATATCTGTGGAACTGCAAAATACCAGAATGTGGTTTTGTGAAATGGAATGGTACTGCAGGGTTAAAGTTACATTTCACAAAAAGCGGGGGATAGGACTCTCTCACCCACCCCTTTTCTGATCTGTGATATAATGGAAATGTCAAATTTGGCATAATAAACGAGGGGAAAAGTATATAAAGTGACAGAGGTGGTTTTTACTTCAGGGTGAAAGAAGAGACCTTGGCCCTTTCCCCAAGGCTTTGCGTGTTCCTTCTGCTGCCAAGCAAGGAATGAAATGATGCCAGGTATATCCAGTTAAGACTCTCTAGCCCTGCAGATCTCTTGGGAGTTTCTAAAATTATCCTAGCACATGGGCAAGCAGCAAGAGCAATGCTTCTACTGTATGCAATTTGGCTTTGGTGTACTGAGGGCATCTCCTTAGTGTCTTCTGTGTGGAGGAAAGTCTGCTGGAAGTTGCACCTGGTGTGAGCCTCCAACGTACTTTTAAGAGCCAGGAGAGAAGTACATTTTTATATTTCACTTGGGTATGCACTCAGAAATCTTGTGGTTTTTGTCACAGAGCCCATGCTGCTCTCTGCTGCAAACATACACCCAATTTAAGCAAGGTACTCAACAGTCTCAAATTGCTTACTCATCCTGAATTTCACAGCCAGGTTGCCATTTAAATTGAACTCCCGGCCATTACATTTCTCCCATTAGAACTCTTAAATAGCTATAGTACCTGAGTAATGGGTGAACCTCCACTCAGAAGAAATGGGCTCTGCAGATGGCACAATTCTCTATCGCAGCACACACACCCCCACTAAAAACTGTTATTCTGAACCTAATAACAAGATCCATTGAAGCGTGCCATACTTCCAATGGCATCAGTGAGAGCACAAGAGGTCTAATCACCATATCTCAAAGGCCATGCAAGTAGCCCTAGTACCTGCAACAATGTCCTGGGCACTTTGAGAAATGCCCCTTTCCAAAGGTACTTGAGTCCATTTTCCTGGAAAAGACATGTCCCAAAGCACCCAATTTCCTGGCACACTTTTATAGCAGTGTGGAAGACACGAGAAGCCTCCTTCTTCCACTTTTGCTACTGCCCTGCCTTCCACCACCAGCCAACCGAGTCATGCCAGGTATCTATGATTGCTTCTTCTCCTGCTTAGGTTAAGTTACGGCCAGGGCTTTTTCCTCTCTTAAAAAAATGTTTAGGGGTACTCTCATTTTGACTCAAGAAAACCACCATTTTATAGTTCAAATCGGGGTAAATAAATACAGTAAAGGGACAAAAGTACAAAGAACATGCATTACCTCATATTACACAGCTGACAGCTCACAGTAACTTCCACACTGCTTCACACATTAAATGCTCGCTTTCGCCTGAGACTCAGGAAACACCATGACAGGAAATGAGACCGCCGTTGGGGGTAGCAACGAAACTGATGATTCACCGTTAGATGCACAAAATGTTTAGGGGTACACATACCCCTAAGTCTCCCCAGAAAAAAGCACTGGTTACAGCAAACTTCTGTGACTTCACTACACTTGAGTATTTTATTTCAGTGCACATAGATCTATGATATGTTACTTCTAACTGCTATAACAACAGAATGTTATTAGCGTTCAGTTCGCCATGTTTTTGTACACAAAGCTGCCAATAAAATTCTCACCCAGGATTTCAGACTCAAAAGGCTGGTTTCAAAGACTGAGCAAAGTGAAGGGGGACAACAATACTCTTCTATTCAGTAAGCATATTCTGTGTAAAGTATTATTTCTTTGAGTAAATGATCTCCTAACTTTGCTTGTTACGTTTTTGTTTTTTTTGCAAATGTTACACAATAATTATTATGCTGCAGTGAAACCCCCTATATCTTCCTCTATATGTTTAAAATATTAAAGCCATGCACAGAGGTAAATCCTCCTTACAGTATATGGCAAATTAGGCAAGCAGTTTCTCAAAACAATAATGAGTCGCTTGGTATATAAATTCCCTCACCTACTGAGCTAAAAATGAATCCTATAAATTATATGCAACTTTCCCACCATGTACTTGTAAAGATTTCTAATACTTTGCATTTATTTACATTTGGATTTCAATAATTTTTGAATTTTCAGAATTATTTCTGTTCATGGATATTGAGCAAATAATGCATTTGTGTTTTTGTGGGGCTCGTTCACGAAACCAACAAAGAAGCTGAATTAAGATTGCCGCAGAAGCGAGCAGTGTTAGCTTCAAAGTGATTGAAAATAGCATGGAATTAAATTGACTTTTCTCCATTATAACTAGTGTGTGTGTATTTGATATTTAATAGTACCTTGGAAGTGGACTCAATCTGTGAGTCAGAAAGATGAGCTGGATAACTGGTGAATTTCTAGACAACCAATTGTGTCCATGTCCATCACTGGAGAATGAAAGTGGGCAGTCTGGCAGTGAGGTAGTAAGGCATTGCTTGTGACCTAAGGGATGCTTTCTGCAGATTGCAGGAGAAAAAGGTGAATGATGATAAAGGAGAAATGGTAAATGATGAGAAATGAGAAATTACCTCATACCCAGAATAAAGAAAAGTCAAGCAATTAGTACAAAGGTTATATTTATAACCAAGAATAACTTGTGCCAATCAAACCAAACAAATGTGGGCAGGTATAATCTGTACAAGCAGGCACGAAATCTTGTGCCTGGCTCTAAGAGTCACCCCAGATGAACACCATCGCCCAAGTAGGCATGATGCTAGGCAAATAGCACCTTCCCCTAGGGACATAGCTGTCAACTTACAGATTTGAAAATAAGGGACCAGCAGCCTTGAAAATAAGGGATCAGCAGCCAAAATAAGGGATTTTCCCAGCACAGGTATGTTCAACTTCTTAGCCCCTCCAAGCCAAAGGCAGAAAGCCCAGCCAGCAGCCAAACGAAGCCTCAAGCGGTAGTTCCCACAGCGCAGCAACCTGGCAAAGGGGATGCAGCAAGGAAAACCACCATCACCTCTCTGCTGGGAAGCGCTGAGCAAAGGTGAGTCCCCAGGCAACGCGGCCGATTTGATCGGCATAAGGCATGCAAGCTCCACCCCCCAGTCATTCTTAGACTCCTTATTGGGTGAGCACCACAGCCAAGCAACACAGTTGGAGCCTCCCTCCTCTCTGGCTGGCAGGAAGGGAGGGAGAGGAGCTGCTTCCTTTGAAACCCGGGAAATTTAAGGGACATCATCAATAA